AAGTTGGTGGACAAAACAATTAAGCTAGTTCCTCTGAGACAGATAGTAACTAACTTAGGCCACTAGAATACCTAGATGGGGAAACAAGGTGGTACAATGGACGAGTGCTGGGCCTGAAATAAAAAAAGACTCATTTTCCTGAGTTCAAATCCTTTCTCAGATACTTGCTAGCTGGGTGACCTTGGGCAAGTCACATAACCCCGTTTCCCTCCATTTCTTCAAGAAGGATATGGCAAACCATTCCAGTATCTTTGCCAAGAAAACCTTAAATGTCATGAAGAGTCAGAGCACAATTGAAAAATGACTAAACAACAAAAAAATACCTAATGGTAAATACCCTTCTCAGACAATCTTACTCCTAAGGAATGATATGATATAAATACTGTTAGAATTATGTACACTGCAGTGTCAATGCATTACTTATTTATCCAGGGGCTAGAAATAGTTAATAGGTCCCTCAAAATAGATAATTTACTATAGGTAATTGTTTTGAGTGCTAGGATAATCACATGAAATGTTTAATAATATTCATAGCCATTGCAATGGGAGGGGGGAGGGGAATGAAACCAATTCTTATGAAATGTTTTCAACCTTTTCAAATCTTCCAATTTTTTTTTTGTCTAGATATCTTCTTGGCCTCTATTTTCTCCTACCTTGTATTCCACTTTGTACATGTGATATCCCTCCCAGGAAGATCTAAATTCTTTGAGGGCATAGACTTGAGTTTTATCTTTGTATCTTCACCTAGGATACTGTTTGACAGGCACTTAACAAATGTTTGTTCATTTGAATTAAGAATACATACAAAAATCACAGTAAATTTAATTGGATGGCAAATACAAGAAAATTTTTTTTTGCTCAAAATAGTAGTTTCTATATTATCTTAAAGTAACTCAAAAGATATATGCATCAGTTCCAGAAGACCAATGATTACTACACATGTAACCAGTCTGACTTCTATTTATACTGTTCCTTTTGCCAAGAAGTTCAAATCATAGTTATAGTTCACTAATACTTATATTCTTAGGAACTAGGAGGAAGGGTGGATCAAGCTCTGGACATGGAGTCACTAAGGCCTAAGTTCCAATACTATCTGATAAACTTATTTACTCTGTGATCCAGGGCAAGTGACTTAGCTCAGCTTCAATTTTCTCCTTTCTGTAAAATGGAGATGATATGAGTACCGTGCCCACAGGTATATTGTGAAGTCAAATGTGTAAAGCACGTTGTAAACCTTCAAGTACTATATAAATGTAAGTTATTATTGTTATTATTATTATTAGTTATTATTATTCCTAGACATGTATGAGAGGCAAGCCTGTTTAAACCTGCGTCTCTAACATCTGTATTTCTGTTGATGGTCCTATTATCCACACCATCCCCTAGGCTCTTAATTTCAGAATCATCTTTGTCTCTTCCCTCGATGAAATCACTTATAAATAATCAGTCACGAATTTCAGTTGAGTGTTATTGTTTAGTCTTTTCGGTCATGTTTGACTCTTCATGACCCCATTTGAGGTTTTCTTAGCAAAATTACTGGAGTCGGGGCAGCTAGGTGGCACAGTAGACAGCGGTCTGACCTTTGAGCCAAGAGGACTTGAATTCTAATGCGGCCTCATACACTTGGCACTTACTTGCTGTATAACCCTGGGCAAGTCACATAACCCTGATTGCCTCACCAAAAAGAAAAAAAAAAGTAGAAAAATAATGGAGTGGTTCGCCATTTCCTTCTCCCACTCATTTTATAGATAAGGAAACTGAAGCAAATAAGGTAATGTAACTTGCCATGGTCACACAGTTAGAAAGGATCCGAGGCCAGATTTGAACTCAGGAACACTCATCTTCCTGATTCCAGGCCCAGAACTCTTATCTACTGTGCCACCTGGCTGCCCAGCTGAGTATGCCTCTCCAATACCTGTCATTTCCAGCCCAATTTTTTGTTTCTACTACAACCAGCTTTTTTGTCAGGTGCTCATCATTTCTTACCTGTTATAATGCCCTGCTGACTAATCTTTCTATCTCTCCAAACTGTCTTTCACAGCACTGCCAATGCGCTGTTCCTAATATACCATTTTAATCATCTCACTCCTCTCCTCTAAAACCTTTAGCAACTGCCTGTTGCCGAACACTGGCATTCAAGGCTATCTCCAGTCTGCCTCTAGCCGACCTTTCCAGCTCTATCTCACACTGTTCCTCTATATTTGTTCTACGTTGCATCTAAACTACCTTATTTTCTGCATTTGTTCATCCTGCTTGCTTATGTCTCCACATCTTTATTATTGGCATCTCCCATACCTGTGATGGATTTCCCCACTTAAATTTTCTCAGAGCACTTTGCAGTTCTCTGTGGCTCAAATAATAATAGTAGGCATTTATACAGACCTATAAGTTTTGAAAAGCACTCATCACATTTGACTGTCATTTTTTTCTTCACATTTTTTATTTTTTTCTGTTATATTAAAATAACTAGAAGAAGGTCTCTGGTTCATTAGGGTAGATCATCATTGGAAGATTTACGGAAAGATTTGGATAAAATTAGCAAAGGATGAAAAAAGCATGAATGGACTGGAGTCTACATGGAGGAAGAGAATACTTACAATGATAAAATCATGGATCCATTATAAATATTAGGTTGTAAATCCTTAAGGATGGGGACTATGCCTAATTTCATTTTTGTTTCATCAGTGCAGTGCACACAATAGGTACCAAATAAATTCTTGTTGAATTGAATTGAAAAGCAAACCAAGATAAAGAATGTCAGAGAACTGTTCAAGGCATTATAGTAAATTAAAAGCGTGGAAGGCATGATATTACTTCATCTAGTACAGAGAGGTGAGATTGGTTTGATTCAGCTATAGCCAAAAAGTTCCACATCATAGTTATGTGTGCAGAATACCAGATGTCAGGGAAATTTTAAAAATTCAGCCTAATGTCCAGCCTTTTTTATCTACAGGACAGTAAATGTTTGGATGTTTAGAATCATCTGAATGTGAGGTGATTGGTATATACATTTTTTATTCAAATGTTTGTTATTATGTAGATATTATCTTGGCCTGGTGAAATATTCCCTGGAGATGAAAGAGAGAGACAGAGACAGAGAGACACAGAGAGAGTATCACCCTATGATTATGAAGTGAAGCAGTATGTTATAGTGGGTAGAGAGCCTTGAAGCCAAGAGGACCTGGGTTCGCATCTTAAACTGACATATACTGTCTGTGTGAGCCTAGGAAAGGATTTAACCTCTTTGTACTCTAGGTAACATTCTCATACTCTAAACTACAGAGAAGGTGCCAGCCCACCTGAATGGATAGAGGAAGCTTCCTAACCTGGGAGTTCCCTATACCGATGAAATCACAGGTCCAGTTCCTATCCCTAATTTATAATGTATACCATTCATTTGCTTTATTTCACCTAAAAATAGTCCTCTAAGTATGAGAATTAGGCTAATTGCCTAATGTTCCCTTCCTTTGAAGGATTATAGCTCCTAGAAGCCAGCTTGATACCAAGAAAGATGTAAGCCTCCAAGCCAAAGCCTCTTCACTTCCAGATTCCTTCCTTAGACTGCTTCCCTCTTGTGACTTCTCCCCTTCAAGTCTTGAGATTCTAATCTGATTTAACCTGTATAGAAATGTGGTGTAGGGGTAGAAATTGAGGTGAGGGTTCAGGGACTTGGGGTATTTTTATTTGCCCTGTTTCTAAGCACAAAATGTGCTTAGCTCTTGAAAAAATTACTTTTGATCTACACTCTTAGCAAAGACAAGAGTTTTTTGTCTAGATACATGAGTCTATGTTTTTAGGGGTAGATGTCAACCTGACATAAAAAAAGACTACCAAAGTACCAACAACAAGGGTCTCTGGGACACCCTGGAGTACTGGAGTGCCTAGGAGGGGCAGAGGGGGTAGGATTTAAATAGGTTTCCGTAGGGAGAGAGTATCATGGAAAGCTCAACCTTGAGAATTTGTTACATAAGTTGTTTTGCATAACAACCCAATGTCCATAGAGAAGGCTGGGGAGGCTCAGGAAGTGGTGACATCTGGTCAGAACAGTGGGTTCCAGGTGCATCAGTGGGAGGTTTCCCAAGAGACCACAATACCATCTCCAACTGGTTTGAACCTGATCCAACCATGGGGTCAGGGTCAGGTAGCCCTTTTGATGGCTGCATTTGACAAGGAAAATCCATCATATCTATGTTGTCTGACTGAAAGATCTAACATTAAAGGATTAAGAAAATCTGAGCAGAGTTTGAAATGTATTTTAATTAGATGGAATAGGATGAGAGCATGCTGAGGAACAATTAAATCTAGAATGTGACTTTCCATAGATATTTCCTAGGTGTACCAGAAATCTACCCCATTGCAAAATGGAGATAGTTCCAAATGTATCATACAAGCTATGTTTGAGATTTGTTGAGATCTTGTGAGGCACATAGTTAAGTTGGACTTTGTTAACAAGATTAGTAATGATCACCCTTTGTCTTGAAACCCATAGCTTCTGTTAAGGTTAAATTCAATAGGTCTTAACCTGATTTCTCTCAACTATTAATCTTCTAGTCACTGAAAAAACTCACTTTGTATTTTTTTTAATATATCTTGATTTACTTATCTGTGATTAAGTTGCATCCTTCTAGGACAGGGGTTCTTAACCCGGGGATTTTGAACTTTTTAAAAACATATCTTAATATGATTGATTTCCTTTAAAATCCCATGTCTTATATTGTATTCATTTAAAAATACTCTGATGATATTTCCATAAGCTTCACCATATTGCCAAAGGGTCCATGATGCAAAAAATAAATAGATGAATGAATGAATAAATGAGTGAGTGATGAATGAAACAAATGAAGTTAGAACCCCTGTCCTAGGAAAATATAAGCTCCTTCTGAACAGTGGTCATTTGTCCTTGCATTCCAAGTACCTAGCACAATGAACGACACATGCCAAGTTTTTTTTCTTAAATGTCTACTGAATGATTGGTGATTGGTTGATTTGATTTGGAACAGAGCTTCTCTGGTGATACCTCCTTGCCAAAGGTCCCGTTATGCCACCTACTTTGATGTCGCGGTGCTGCGCTGCCTGCTTCAGCCCCATTGGTCAGAGGAAGGCACTCAGTGGTCCCTGATGTATTATCTGCAGAGATTAAGGCACATGTTAGAAGAGAAGCCAGAAAAGTCTCCAGAGCCAGAGATTCTGCACCTACCCAGACCCCGCAGCAGCTCTATGGTGGCAGCAACTCCTTCACTAGTGAACACTCATAAGACCCAGGTAAGAAAAATTCTTTGTTTTTCATTACACTTTGGAGCACTGGCTTTACAAATTATCAGCCATTTATTTTCTTCTGTTTCTCTGCAAATGACTATCATTTGTTTGAGGGTGTATTATAGTTGGAGGATTGCCTTGAAACTCTGTTCTTTCTCTGTCTTTTGCTCTTTTACCATTCTTCTCCATTGAATTGAGCCCTTAAATAAGAAATATGTGTGTATGTATGTATATATGATTATATATGTATATATACATACATATACATATGTGTGTATACACTATTAAATTCACTAATATACATTAAAGGTTCTATTGATTCAGAATGGAATGCTCTACTACAGAAAATATTCTGGTTAACTGAGTTAACCATATATATATATCACAATTAAATAGGCAATTTCAAAGCATTTGAAAACAATAAAAATAATCATAATAATTCACATTTATGAGCCTGTTAATATTTACAAGCCACTTTCCTCACAACAATTCCACGAGGTGTCAGCAAAACTTATTGATGCCACTTCAAGGATGAGAAAATGTACCCTAAGAAATTTTAAAGTGACTTGCCCAGGGTCACATAGATACTAAATCTTACACTTGTACTGAACATTAGCAACTCGATTTTTGTAGTGCTTCTTGATCAACATTAAGAAACATTATCATTATATGGACTTGTTGACATAGATAATCTGAGAAAATGTGCTGAATATGTACCCTTACCCAGTGACAGATCCTGAAATTTGCTAAAATGAACCCACCAGATTATTTCCTTATCTTTTACTATAAAAGTAACAAAGTATAGAAAAGTTTGATGTAGTGCAAGGGGGTTCATGGGAGCATAGTTTTAGAGCTAGAAGGGACATTAGAAAACATCTAATCCCACCCTCTCATTGTGCAGATGAAAATCTATCTATCTGAACTTTCTAATATTTCAAATTACAGATAATTGAAAGTAACATATTGGAAAAATACTAGCTTGTGGATGTAGTTACAGAGTTCCAAAGGCAAAGATTGAAATAGCAACTAAATAGAAGAGGAGTCTGAATTAGCAAAAATATTCACTTTTACCTGCTGGAAAATAATTCTAGCCAAAGTATGATGAATCATTGCAGTGACAAGCTTTCATTGCACCTAAATGTCTCAGTCTTCCATTTTAATACAACCAGGAAATAAGACTTCCAGGCTTCTAGAATATATAGCATTACAGTCTGATTGACCGCCAGAAACTAGGACAGAAAGTTAACAATGCATGAAATAAGATCTTCTCACAATGACAAAATGCAATAGCTATGAAATGTCAAGGTTTAAAGTTCAATACTGAACAGGCAATTTAAAAGCAAATAACCCAATAACTAACTACAAAATAAGACCTCAGGAAGAACTGCATCATCTTAATACTGCTTATAGGAGGTATCCATTGGTTTGATTTTTCTATATCTGCCTTTATTGTTTTTCAAGGATCTCACCATGAAATGTAATGAGGAGGAAAAATCTCTGAGTGCAGAAGCCTTTTCCAAGATGTCCTTGACCAACTTACGCAGACCTGCAGTTCCAGACCTCTCTTCAGACTTGGGCATGAACATTTTTAAGAAGGTGAGTGAAGCTACCAAAAATATCTAATTATTGGTGATGAAAAAATAAAAAAGTAGCCTTAACTGGGTCCCTGGTGGGAGGCAATATTGTTTAGTGGAAAGAGTTCAGATGTCCCTATAGAGAATAATAGTTCCAATTTTGTTGAATACTATTATTTGTATGGGAAGATGGTATGCCAATTACATACGTTTAGCCTGAATTTGGGTTTTTTTCCCCGCAGTGGTGCTAATAGTTTATTTTCGTGGTAGCCATTTATTGTATCTCACCCAATTCCCCTTGTGACTAATGCCACATATTTTGAAACAGACTGCTTTAGTATAGAGCAAAGATGACTGGCCTTCATGGTAGTACACCCATTACCCTAGCTTTATTGCTATTGTGTTCTACTCAACTGGTGTAACAGACCACAAGTATAAATGAGTGGGAAAAAATTATCTGTGCCTACCTTTGTTCATTATTTTTAGATAGTAGGCAGCATTCCAGGAAAGGGACAGACAATGAGTCACTGGTATCCAAAATAGAGCAAGGGAAGACACATGCCATTCTACCCTTCAATGAAAGATAGATGTTTGCTTCCCTTGCTCTATTTTGGATAGCATCAATGGTTTGTTCTGGGTCTGTCCCTTTTCTGGAATACTGACTCTCTTTTACTGCCAATTTTAAGGTCTCTGGATGATTGAACTGTGTGTAATCTTTCCTGTGATCTCTCTCTCTCTCTCTCTCTCTCTCTCTCTCTCTCTCTCTCTCTCTCTCTCTCTCTCTCTCTCTCGTAGTTTAAAACTCGCAAGGAAGATCGAGAACGAGAACGCAAAGGTTCTATCCCATTTCACCACACAGGCAAGAGAAGACAGCGTCGAATGGGGGTGCCTTTCCTGCTCCATGAAGATCACCTGGATGTGTCCCCCACACGCAGCACCTTCTCATTTGGGAGCTTCTCTGGGCTTGGAGAAGACAGACGTGGCATTGAGAAAGGAGGCTGGCAAACTACCATATTAGGTGACAGCAAAGCTTAAGTGTTTTTCTTGATGTTCCAATCGTGTGCTGCAAGAATATGGAGATTCAAGGTCTTTCTTGAGAAGCCAGGCAGATCTTGAACTGAAGTATAGGCCCTAAGTATAAAATGATTCCATGTCTTTACAACCAAAACAGAGCACAGGCAATTGTCTGGGATTTCTCTTTGAGGGATCTAGATAGTGTCAAGTCACTTGGTTCTGGAGGCCTAGTATTAAAGTGTTCCAAAGGCCCAAGGGGCATTGTGGGTCCAAAGTTAGGCCAATGACCCTGATATACATAAATACCTTTTTAAAAAAAAGATAATGTAATAATGGAAACAATAAAGGAAGGGAAGGATAGAGGTCAATTGAGGCTTCAGAATTAGGAAAACTTGGGTTCATGCCCAGCTCCTACTATGAAATATTGACTGTGTGCCCCTGGGCAAGTCACTTGGCTCCTTTGTGCCCCCAGGAAACTCTCAAGAACTATAAATTGCAGAAGAGTTACTGATCTGCATAGGCTGAGTGAGTTTCCTCACCAGGAATTTCCCCACCTGTGAAATCACCAGTCCAAATTAAAAAAAAAAAGTAATAACATCAGCTGACATTAAGAACTAATAGCTGGCCTATTGTAGAAGAGGTGGTTGCTGAAATCTACATGCAATTGGATTTGTCCTGTCCTCAGGTAGCTTCACATCTGATCCTGTTGTTAAAGAGAGTAAGATTTTCTGTGGTTCAGCAAAGCTCCATCCCCTTCTCACTACCACTACCTCTTCCCACCGTTCCTTTCAGAGATAAAGAATAATGAAGTCTTTAAACAGAACCTTCTACAGTTTTTAAAACCCTATTTTTGTTCACCTTAGGCAAGTTCACCAGACGGGGAAGTTCTGATGCAGCCACTGAAATGGAGAGTCTGAGTGCCAGGCACTCCCACTCTCATCACACTCTGGTCAGTGACTTACCAGATCGCTCAAACAGTCATGGAGAAAATACCGTCAAAGAAGGTATGTCCTAAACAGAAAAGGAGAGTTAAAGGAAGTAGGAGTTGACAGTTGTAGCCCTTTTTCTATTTCTGAATTGTTATTATGTAAATGCCTTCAGTGAAAATGCCTTCTTCTATCCTATGTTTAGCATTCATCCTAAAAGGATTCCTACCCTGCATCTCCCTAGCAGTAGCTACTTAATAGCACCTGGCAAAACTAGAGGCACAAAGTCAAAGACTTCATGGAGTCCATGAGAATATAGCTATATATTTTCTATATGAGTATTAGCTGGGAATATTTTCTCATGGAGCAAAAACACCTGGGGCTGGTGGTGGAGTGAGTGGTTGTAGACAGTCAGACCAAAGGTGTAGTCACACTGATAGGGAGCAGATAAAGGCACCATTGGGATAGAACCCTAAGGGAGGGGTATCCCAGGCAGCAATTGAGGCCAGTGAAGAACTTCTGGGTAATAGTTGGGGTGTCTGCAGGGAGGAAGCATGACACCCAGAAGTTGGTACTTTAGGGCAAAGGCCCTGTTTGACCCATGCACTTCTCACCTTTGTCCTCTAGGACACTAAAATGGAAATACAGTTGGGGATTGGTAAGGTGGTTAGTTAGGGCAGAAGGTCAAGAAATCTAGAATGTTAGAGATATATGGATTATTTCAATATAATTGGTTCCTTGTGTATTCTTGCATATTTTTATTTTATGGATTCAAAAACATTACTCTTAGAAGACAATAGATTTTACTAGACTGCTAAGGGGATCCATGACACAAAAAGAGTTAGGGACCTCTGCTTTATGTATTGGCATATTTGTACTGGTGATATCTTCATGACTTCTGTAGTGGTTTGGGCCAGTTTTAATATTGTAGCAAGAAATCAGGAATCTGTGAATCTAGAACTCTGATGATTGTCATCATGTTTAATAACTCTAGGTAAGAAAGAATGTGTGCTCAGAAAGGAATGCTAAGATGTTGTTCTCCTTTTCCCAGTACGATCACAGATCTCCACCATCACAGTGGCAACCTTCAACACGACCCTGGCGTCATTCAACGTGGGCTATGCAGACTTTTTCAGTGAGCACATGAGGAAGTTATGCAACCAGGTGCCTATCCCAGAGATGCCCCATGAACCTCTGGCATGTGCCAATCTGCCCCGAAGCCTAACTGACTCCTGCATCAACTACAGCTATTTAGAGGATACTGAACATATTGACGGGACCAACAATTTTGTCCACAAGAATGGCATGCTGGATCTTTCGGTAGGGAGCAAAAGATAAAAGTTTCTCATGCTATAAAGTGACAAATGAGTATTTTATTGTGCTATAATGGTTCATTATGCTGTAAAGTGAGCGAATAAGAACAATTCTTGTTATTGTCATTGTTATGTTAGCTACCAGAAGTAAAGGGAGAAGGGTGAACTTCAAGGGAAATTGAACTTTAAAAGAATAAATCTTCATATGTGATTCTTTTTACAAAACTACCTCTTACCATGTAGAGTATTTATATTACAGAAAACTTTAAGTATCTTTGATTTCCTCAGTGTATAGGGAAGACTGACCTTCAAGGAAGGAAGACTTGGATTCAAGTTCTGCCTTTGACACATACTAACTATGTGACCACACACAAGTCTTCTGGCAAGTACATAGTGGCTGGCATATAGGGAGCACTTAATAAGTGCTTATGGGCTGACTGACAGACCTAGCATCTCACTGTCCCAGGCAACTCTCTAAGACTTGAATTTACATGAGGATTGTCAATCTGTACTAGCAAAGGGAATTTCTGTACTAGTAATTCTATACACAGTCTAGAACTGTGGTCATGGATAGAGTCTTACATATAGTTAGATAGATAGATAGATATAGTTATATATATAGATATAGACATAGATGTAGATAGATATATTCATGTGTATGTGTTTGTGTGTGTATAGGGTGTTCCAAATTCTTAGTACAGTTTTAAGCTATTAAACTACACTAAGATTTTTAGGATACTAGATAGATAGATAGAGATTGATTTTATATATGTGTGTTTATATATACGTGTACACACACACACACACACACACACACACACACACACACCCGTCCATATTATACATGAGTTTATAGAGGGCTGGCATCCAAATTTGGAAGATCTGGGTTCAAGTCCTCCAGTGTCACTACAAGCTAGTTATTTAACTTCTTAGCAGACTAGACAACTACCTCTTGAATATAAAATGCAGAGCAACTGATCTGTTAGTAAAAGGAGTTTCCTGACTTGTTTTCTCTGCCAGTGAAATCACAGATACAGTCTTCCCTACCCCTAAAAGAGGCATATAGATGTAAATTATATATGTATATTATACATATGTTTTATCTATATCTGTATCTGTGCCTCTATCTATATGTATCTATATCTAATCTGTGTCCATATCTATCTATATTTTTGTTGTTCTGTCACACAGTTGTGTCCAACCCTTCATGATCTCATTTTTTTGTTGTTTTTTTTTGGGGGGGTTGGTAAAAATAGTGGAGTGGCTTGCCATTTCCTTCTCCAGTGGATTAATACTCTTAAGAGATCAAGTAACTTGCCAGGTTCACATATCTAGTAAGTTTCTGAGGGTGGATTTGAACTCGGGTCTTCCTGACTCCAGGCCCAGTACTCTATTCAATGAACCACATGGTAGATATTCAATGAACCCCTAGTAGATATAGGCATAAGTGGATATATGTATGTATGTCTGTATGCATATATATGTGTGTGCATACATGTATGTATATATGTATATGCATTGTGTATATGTATATTCACATGCATACATATATATCCACCTATACCTATAGCTATCTATACACACACACACACCTACACATATGTAGGTGGCTATGATGACTAAATGCAGAGAAAGACTTCAGAAATTGTTTTTATTTAGATAGAGAACTTGATAAGTCTACTAACACTCTGTCCCTGAATTCCCATCAGAAAAGGAAAAATATCCTTTGTTCCTCACAAATATTTTGGGAAAACTTAGAAGAATAATATCAACAATACATCTGATGTTCTTTGGAAGATATAAACTCTGTGATGTTTTGTTGACTAATGAAATACTTTAAAAACACAACACCATAAAAACAGCCTAGGCATGGCACTATGCAAAAGGCCATATCAGCTCTGTCCAACACTACTTGGACAGCAAATGAAATTCACAAAGCATGAAGAATTCTTAACTCAGAGCTGTGTTAAGGGAAATTAACAACATTCTTCCCCCCTAGACTGTTAGCTTCTTGAGGGTAGAGACTGTATTTTCTTCTAATGTTATTTGTATCCTCAGTGCGTAGCATAGTGCCTGGTACATAGCTGGAACTTAATAAAGACTGATTGTTTGACTAAATTGGAGTAATTCAGGTGATTCAATATTTTTATAAGGGGTTTGCTTTTTTTTTTCTCAGGTGATTCTGAAGGCTGTTTATCTTGTCCTAAACCATGACATCAGCTCTCGCATCTGTGATGTGGCACTGAACATTGTTGAGTGCTTGCTTCAGCTTGGGGTGGTCCCATGTGTAGAAAAGAACAGAAAGAAAAGTGAAAACAAGGAAAATGAAACTTCAGAAAAGAGGCCAAGTGAAGGAACCTTTCAGCTCAAAGGACCTTCTGGAAGCACAACCTGTGGATTTGGGGGTCCCTTGGTTAGTGGAACTGGAGATGGAGGTGGAGAAGAAGGTGGAGGTGGTGATGGAGGAGTTGCTGGAGGTGATGGAGGAGGAGGAGGAGGAAGCGGAGGTGGAGGAGGAGGAGGAGGAGGAGGAGGTGGTGGTGGTGGAGGAGGTGGAGGTGGCCCTTACGAAAAAAATGATAAGAACCAAGAGAAGGTATGGTTGAATTCACTTGCAAGTCATACTCAGATATAATCTCTCATTTATGTTCACTTCTTGTTGGCAAAAAACTTGTTGAACTAGACCAATAACTACTGACTATTAGTGAGGGGAGCATATAATTGGGTCTGGATATGTTATTGCATCCAATTTTCATATAAGTGCCTTCTATGAGCCAGGCACCACGCTAAGTGCTAGGGATGCAAAGTCAAAAAATGAAAACAGTCTCTGTCCTTGAAGGTACATTCTACTAAAGACACTCCAGGTGTGGAAACCCCCTCTACCTGATGTATTTTGGGAACTCTTCTGTAATGTATAGTCATTAAGAATTGCCTGGGACATGAAGTTTAAGGGACTTGCCTTTTGTCATCCTGGCTACTAGCTAATAAGTAAGTGGTCTATGGAGAAAACAGGCCTTTGATTTCATGAAGATACCTCAGTAAATTATTTAGCTGAAATTCTGAATTTAAATTTTTTGAAGTGTTGCCAACCAGACAGTGTCAATAACAGACTTCCTATTGCATTGCATGAGAATGTTGTCTTAAATCACATGCTCCTATTTTTCTGGACAACTAAACCCCTGAGAGTTATTTTTTTTCTTTCAGCATATTCTAGACAGTGACTAGTTCAAACAAACCCCAAACTACATCAACTTGCCCTTTCTTATTGCCTGTTTTCCAATTCAGGGCATACTTTAGGAGCCATTGACAACCATTGTCTTGAGAAATTCTCTCGGCTTAGATTCTTATAATCTAGCCACTGCTTAGATTCTTAAAATCTAGCCAATAGCTCACTAATGTTCAGACTCCTTAAGAGTCTGCCCAATATGACAGATGTTCTAATAAACCTCATCTTTGGCTAGCTGAAAAAAAAAAAAAGAAATTCTCTCTAGGCAAAGAGTAAGAGCATGGAGCCTGTTGGTTGCTGCTCCATTCTGTTATCAAACTCAGTGTGTTCCTTTAGCCTTTAGTGCTAAAACTGTGTTAGATGCTATTAAACCTAATCCCCATGCCTTAGATACGCCATTCCTAACTCCAATTCATGCATTAGTTTCCTTTTTCTATTTGGGTTTTAATTTAATAGCCAAACCATATAACTTTCACATTTCCTGTGCCAATTCTGATTCACAAGTTTGTTCAGGAATAGAAATCAACTATGCAAAGTTCAGAATTTGCACAATATTTACTGCTGATGCATATTATGATCTACGATCTAAAATAGGGATTCTCTTTTTTTTTTGCATCTGACAAGCTCCTTATGACTAAATTTTCTTCCTCTTTCTTCCTTCATCCCATATTCCTTATGAGTCAGCCTTTAGAGTCAGACTACTTCCTGTGTTTGCTTCCTGACTGCCAATCACTGTGCCCCTTAGATTCTCATTTTTCTTCTTATCTTTTTGTGTATCCCTCTTCTTCAGTATTTTGTTCTTTTCCTACCCTTAACATCATCTTCTGCCCCTGAGGAATCCTAAAGTCTATCCCTTCCCCTTCAATTCCCCAAGCATCACAGAGGACCCTTCAAGGATGGCCCAGACCTTACTTTGGGCAACAATGTTTTGAACTTCAGTACAGGTTGGAATGGATTCAATTTGAAAAGCTCATTGGTGCTATCAATTGACTTTCACAACTAGTAGCTACATAGGGTATAGCAAGAAAAACTCAGGTTATAGAGATACAAATTTATAAATACTTTACAAACAATTCTGATTACTTTTGTCTTCCATTTGCTATATATCTCTTCTGTATTATCTATAGTCTTTTAGAAAGCAGTGAGGGCTATGCCCTGTGAGTGAGAATCTGGCCCTAGAAATGGTACCAGGTTGCTAAACATGTTCAAAAGAGGCTAGAAAGAAAATATCAAAACACTTACAGGTCTTTCATGTTTAACTAGTTTGACTAAGTTGCTGAATATTTCTCTAAGCATAATTTGGATGTGTTATTTCATTTTAAGATGATTGTGCAGTTTTTAAAAAGCCAAGCTAATAGTTTCTAGAATCATATTGTGGTCAGCTATCTGAAGTAAGAGGAGCTCGCCATGTATAATGCCTCCTTAAAAATAATCTGCTTATGGATCAAGAGATATTTGATTTTGACTTTTTTAATTATAGAAGTTTTTTTTTTCTCAGCATTTAATTTTCATTAGAACTTGAAAGATCATTGAATTGGGCAGGCTTGGAACATCAGACAAATCCTCTGGTGGTTAAAGAAAAAAAGGAGAAAAGTAGGATGTCAGATTTCTCCCTCTGCCACTAATTTGCTTTAGGATTTGGGCAAAGTCATACAACCAACTTCTATCTAGTTCCCCTCCCCTATCTTTAAGTAAACAGATTTTTCTGTCTACCTCTGTGGACATGACCCTGATTGCACGTGGAGAAAAGAAGAAATGAGAATTTGTTTAATATTTAGAAAATACTTTGAAATTTATAGATAAAATCAATCAATAAGCATGTATTAAATGTTTACTATATGCCTGGTATGTGCTAGATGCTAAGGATGCAAAGTCAAAAATGCAATATTCACTGGCCTCAAGTAGCTCATGTTCTATCAAAAAAGAGTAATAAATAAATAGTACATATAAACCACTTTTCAAAATGGCCCCAGGGCCCTGACCCAAAGATAGTGATGTCTGTTAGCATTAATAGAAGCAAATGCTGTCCTGATTTTATGCCTTAATATTGTGCCTCCAAAGATAGAGTGGCCTTTAAAATGGTTTGGGGATTAGAATTTTTATCATTTGTTCTTAAAAGAAATATACATGTGAGCAATATGTTCCATAACATTCTCTTTTACCTTCCCACTAAGTTTGCATCTCTATGGAGAACTAAGTCCCTGGGCTGGCAGTAAAGGGACACAAAACTAGTGACTCCATTTGCATTGATAGCTTAATCCATGGACTAGCATTTTTAAGCATCTACTATGTGACAGGTATTGTGCTAGGCAACAGGGGTGCAAAGACAATCTTTAATCACAGGGTGTTTATATTTTAAGTCTACACAAAGTGGAACAAATTGACAGGTTGATATCCCCTAGGTAGGAGATACTATTCTTTCCCATGGTAGGGCACAAAAAATGCCTAGTTCATCCATATTTACTCCAAAGGATAAATGAACTTGTATAAGTAAGAATTTAAGAGTTCTCTACTAATATCTGAACTATCTTCATTCTTTTCTATGTGATCACAAAGATCATTATTCTAATCAGATGACCCTGAAATATTAGTATTATATTTATACAACACTTAACATTTTTCATCTGATAATAAAAGTGTCATCTATAACCCTCTACTCAGCAAGTCTTTAAGGTAAATGATGTGGGTACTAGCTATATTTTATATAATTTTGACACAGAGCTATAATTAGAAATCTTGTGTCTAAGGCTAGTACCATAAACTGTGCTTGGGGCTAGCACCAAATATATGCATTCATTTTTGTGACCCCTTTTGGGATTTTCTTGGCAAAGATACTGGAGTGGTTTGCCATTTTCTTCTGCAGCTTATTTTGCAGATGAGGAAACTGAGGCAAGCAAGGTGAAGTGACTTGCCCAGGGTCATACAGCTAAGAAGTGTCTGAGGCCAAATTTGAACTCGTGAAAATGAGTCCTCCTGACTCCAGGCCCAGCGTTCTATGCACTATGTCGCCATCTAGCTGCCTAGCTTTAGGCAGCCGCTTTGCTGGCAAATGTTCACTTCACAAATATCTCACACACACACCCACCCCTGCTCGTTTGGTTGGGTAATTCTGATCTTGGAACCACATGTATACAGGCACTTTGGTACCATTTTCTTTAGTCCCAAGGAGAGAACAAAGATGAACTGAAGGTTCTACATCTCATTCTGCTTTTGAAAATACATTTTGTGAAAATTTAAAAATAGTCACTACATGAAAATTGAGGTTCTTGGATTGAAGTTGGTTTCCTTTGAAATCCTATTATTTTGTTTCAAGTATTTGAAATAATTATTATGTGAAAGGCTCCATAGGCTTCACCAGGCTGCCAAAGGTTCAGGTTGGGAAAAGGGTGAGATCTACGATACAAAAAAAGATTAAGAACCTCTGCTATGAGATCACAGGGGAGAATCAGTTGCTGAACTGAAATCAAGATGAATAAATTGTGATCAGTTCACAAAACTTAACGTCCCCCTCCTCACGCTGGCATGCAAACATGCCCTTTGGTGAATTATCCTCTTCAAGAAAAATGTACTTGCCTTCCTCAGTGAATGCCATCACAATCATACCTGGGCATTCTTCATGGCCACTGAGGACATAAAAACTATCATAGAAAGATGTACCAAGTGTGAAGAGTAGTTTGTTTAAAACAAAGGCAGCCATCATGGATCTCAACAGTTCAGCATTCCTCAGGTTATGGGGGTTTGCTTGTAATGTACACACACTGTATATTAGCTGGGGCTCAGATATGTTAATCGATTGAAGGTAAATGCAGAATTGGCCCAAGGACATTAATAGGAGTGTAAACGACCGTCACTTTTTCTCTCTTATGGGTACCAGGATGAAAGCACACCTGTAAGCACCCATAGGCTTGCTCTAACCATGCTCATCAAAATTGTAAAATCTTTGGGTTGTGCCTATGGCTGTGGAGAAGGACACCGAGGGCTCTCTGGCGATCGTCTGAGACACCAGGTATTCCGAGAGAATGTAAGAGAATTAAAGTAGATTCCATCTCCCTTCCCCATCCCCCCTCCAGCTTAGAAATGAATCCCTTGACAATGAGGCACCATAGTTTCCTATTAAGTTGAATGCTTTGCAGCAATAATATACAGTGTCCTGAAAAATAAATGATCTTAGTTATCTCAGGGCATTACAAAACCCAGACCTAGGAAAGTTTAATTGAGAAAAATGCTTTTGCCACTTGTCTAGTACAGTCTGGCTAGCTCCAAATTGGTGAAAATATTTATAATTGGAATGTGTGAACAATAGCTTGAAATAAACATTATAAGACTGGATAAATTTAACCAATTTCATGTCATAAGCCAAGTGTTTTTTTTTAATCACCTGGCTGGATATGGTAGTCATATGTTTTAACTCTATTGGGCAGACAGGGGGGAAAGATTAAATATTTAGTGTTTGTTTTATTTAAAATATTGCATTAATATCGACAAAAAATGCCCTTTAGTGGAAAAAGTGGACAAACAGTGCCAGTAGGCAGTGTTAGGTACCAAGGTTCTGTTCCAGAACTGAACTGAATCTTTACTTCAAGATATCTGAGTTGGTGGATTTGAGACCTACATAAAACTTGAAACTCTACAGTTTCAAATTTTTGATTTGTGCCGACATATTTGCATCTTAATCCTCTAGATCAGAGGTTCCCAAATTTTCTAACGTGCGAACTCTTTCTTAATATCAAAAAGCTTCTGGGACCCTTACATAATAGTAGTTGGACAATTAGTGTTGTCCATTGATTGGAAAAGTACATGATGGCAGAAAGCTACTCTGAATTCAGTAATTCTTTTAAATGAATTTTTATCTTATTAATCACAACAGCATCCATGTACATTTGTAAAGTAAATTATGTCTGAAAAATATTGTTTAATCTACAAAATGATGCTGCTTAATGCATATTTGGGATTGCAACTGACTGCTTATAGTAACTCCAAGATCCCCCAGGTGCCTGTGGCCCACAGATCAGGAACCCCTGCTCTAGATCCATTTTTTTTTTACTTTCACTTTCAGACCAAAAGTAAACTCTGAAAAACAAAGCAAGTGTGTGCTGAAATAGTTCTCACCTGTTGTTTTAAGTTGAAGCATGATTATTTGCTTTCTTTCTCATGACCTTTGATTTTAAAAATAGGGGAAATAGACAAACCTAAATCAAGATCACTCCACAAATTTGGTCAGCATTTCAGGATCTTGCTAAACCCAGTGCCAGCCCAATTTTATTAATATTAGATTTTGTCATGAAACATTCACCCAACATTATTAGCATGCGGTTTCTTTGATTAATTCAAGGTCAAGCCTGTTTCTTTTTCTTGTTATATTGTGAAATAACTTTTTTTATTTGTACTCATTTTAAAATTTTCAGTTTTACAGCAGAGTCTCAGTTCTGCGTCCTGGACACTTTAACTGGTCTTAAATTCTGATGCATATTATTACTAGCATTAATTACATAATTATATATATATATATAATTAATTATATAATTATAAGTATAATATAAGTAATTATAATTGATTAGTAATAATAATGATAAACTTGAAGAGCAATCCTGCTTCCATTTTTGCAGATCCATTTTTTTTAACCTTTATTTTGCTTTGCAATTTGAGTGACTACAGTTTGGGCTTAAGAAACTATCTCGCAGTGGAAAGGGCTAGTACATAAGAAAGAATATTGAAGTTAAAAGAGAAATGTTAATTAGTGATTGTCCTAGTTAAAGTTAGGTTAAAAACTCTTTGGCAACAAACTATTCTACCTAAGTTTCTAGACTTTAGGGAGTATACAACAGTATCAACACAAAAAAGGAGAGATAATTATCATTGCTGACACCACTAAGACCTTTTCATGGAGAATGAGACCATGTTAGGGAGGTAGCTTGGTATGATGGATAGAAATTTGGCCTTGGAGTCAGGAATACCTGAATTAAAATCCTATCTCAAAGATATATTGTTCTCCCAGGCAACTCTGTAAGACTATAAAAAGGTTATTACCAAATTGTCCATTTATATCAATGGTGGAAATTTCTGTAGCAGCAACTATTTTACCCATACTGGTAAAATGGTAGACCCTTATGTGGGCATGGGGAGAGAAAAAGGGCATGGAAGTTTCAGGGGAGCAGAGAGAGTACTTAACAGAATGTTAATAACTCAGTCAGCAAATGCCCCATGCATTAACTTGTGGCCTACTTCTATACTAATAATAGCAAATAGATTTGTATATATGTTTTAAGTAAATGCAGTAATAATGAGCTGGCTAGTTAGACAAATAGATAGATTTTCCCAGACTTAAGCCTAATTTGTTTAAAGAAAAAAAAACACTAGTCTTTTTGAAACTAAGCATTTCCAAGTTTTCCAATCTGGGGACTTCTCTAGTGTCTTAGACTCTAAAAACTAAAAATCTTTTCACACTTCCAATCAGCCCTCTTTACCTCCAGCAAATATGTTCAATTGAAACTCCCAATTAAAATGAAACTGAAAACTATTAAATTATTAAGTATTGAAATAGCTATTAGAGAAGGAAATAATATAGCAGCTTCTAAAGTTGTCTAATCACTATTGCCCTAAGTGACTCAGTGGTCTAAACTCTTCAGAATTTCTTAAAACTATCTTTTAAAAGGAACAAAGTACCCAGTTTGAAGACTTTAATTTTTAGGCCTTACCATAATCTCCCTAAAAGTGTTTAGAATTCTAATGACCTCTGAATGATTGGATTTGACATTATACTTTAGCACATGTATATATATTTTTAACATTTTAATTTAGTTATATTTTCTTTTTAAATTTTGAGTTCCAAATTTTCCTTTATTTCACACCTTCTCCACCCACTGAGAAGGCAAGCAATATGATATCAATTATACATGTGAAGTGATGTAAAACATTTTTCCATATTTGGCATATTTCCCAAAAAAGCAAGAAAAATAAAGAAAATGAGAAAATTATACTTCAATTTGCTCTCAGAGTTAATCAGTCTCTCTCTCTCTCTCTCTCTCTCTCTCTCTCTCTCTCTAGAGAGAGAGAGAGAGAGAGAGAGAGAGAGAGAGAGAGAGAAAAAATTTTTTTCGTCATGAGTCCCTTGAAATTGTCTTGGATCATTGTATCAATCAGTTCCCAAATGTTTCACAGTTGGTCACCATTAGAACATTGTTGTTACTATGCACAATGATTCTTCTCATTTCATTTTACATCAAGTCATATAATTTTTACCATGTTTTTTTGTCATTTTTTATAACACAATTATACTCCATCACAATCATGTGCCACAACTTGTTCAGCCACTCCCCAATTGATGGGTATCCCCTCAATTTCCAATTCTTTGCCACCACAAAAGGAACTGCTATAAATATTTTTGTACATATAGGTCCTTTTCCTTTTTCTTTGATTTCTTTGGATATAGACCTAGTAGTGGTATTGCTGAGTCAAAGAGAAAGCACAATTTTATAGCCCTTTGGTCATAGTTCCAAATCATTTCCCAGAATGGTCAGACCAGTTTACTACTCCACCAGCAGTACATTAGTGTACCTATTTTTCCCTCATTCCCTTCAGCATTTGTTATTTCTGATAGGTGTGAGGTGATACCTCAGAGTTGTTTTAATTTGTATTTCTTTAATTAATAGTGATTTAGAAAAGTTTTTCATATGACTATAAGATAGCTTTGATTTCTTCTGAAAACTGCTTACTTATATTCTTTGGCCATTTATCAATTGGGGCATTACTCTTATTTCTATAAATATGACTTAGTTCTATGCTCAATATATACCTGAGAAATAAGGCTTTTATCAGAGAAATTTGCTATAAAAATTTTTGGTATTACTTCATTGTCTACGGTACCTTTGAGCATCATGTGGTTTCCCTGATTATCTCTTTTAATTGTCTGTTTTTGTTTTTGCTTTGTCTGAGACTGTGATTGCTATTCTTGATTTGTTCCTTTGTTTGTTTTTTTACTTCAGCAGAAGTGTATTACATTCTGTTCCAGCCCTTTATTTTAAATCTGTGTGTGGCTTTGTTTCAAGTGTGTCTCTTGTAAACAGCATATTGTGGGATTCTGGTTTCTAATCCATTCTGCTATCTGTTTCCTTTTTATGGGTCAGCTCATCCCATTCACATTCAGTTATGATAACTGTGTATTTCCCTCCATCACATTTTCTTTTGTATCTTCCTCTCTGTCTCTCTGTCTCTAATTCTCTCTGTGTGTGTCTGTCTCACCCCCCTCTTCCTGAAAAATCTATTTTGCTTTTAACTACTGCCTCCCTTAATCCACCTTCCCTTTCATCATCCCCACCTTTGTCTTATCTCCTTTCCCTCCTATTTTCCTATTAAGCAAGTTACATTTCTATATACAACTGTGATTTAAGGCTACAACAAGAAACTTCCTAATAATTCTAAATGTTAGTCTTTTCCAGGCAATTTAAAAGATGCGCAGGTTTCAGTATCAAAGAGGTTGGTTTTTAGCATTCGCACTCAATGGAGTCTTTAATATATCCCCATTACACTGGATCTGCCTTCCATAATCCGCCATCTTTGTGTTGGTCCCTAGCTTTCCAGGGCCCAGGGTTGCTACTGGAGCACCCCTCTTCAAATTTCCATTTTTTGTTGGTTCCCTATGTTGTTTTCTCTATACTCCCTCCATCATGCTGGGCTTATCATTACCAATTCCCATTTGCTGCTAATAAAATTTGTAGTTTACTGGTCTTATATTTATCCCCTCAGAGCCAGGATCATTTCATTCCCTAAGATGTTAATTAAGCAAACAGATAGACTAATGTGCTAATGGAGAAGCTTAAAGGGTCTCCTGTCTTTCCCAGATAATATATGTACATTGAATCTTAGGAATTAGGGCTAGTAAAAAACTTCGAGACTATCTAGTATAACCCCCTCATTTTGATGGTCATTTTTTGGAGATAATACTCATATTTTTCATGAATTTCTCTGCTAAGAATCTCTAACACAGGCATGAATGCTTGGTTAATAGTTAACTTCTTGAGAGCAGAGGCTATGCCAGATCTATATTTAGGATCATCATTTTAGAGATGAAAGGGACCTTCAAAGTCATCTAGTCCAAACACCTCATTTTGCAGTTGTTGAAACTGAGATCCAGAGTAGTAAAATGAGTTACCCAAGATCATACAAGTAATAAAGGGTAGATTCAGGATTTGAACTTGGGTCTTCTGACACTCAGATCTACCAGGACTCTTTCTACCATAACATCCTCAGCACCCCACTAAAGGGCCTAGAACATAAGAATTGCTTAAATGTTTGTTGGAACTGAATGGAATAGACAAAGTAGCACTAGCCAAAACAAAATGCATTTGTGCCCATACTTTCAACTGGTTTCCAGGTGGTTCAGGGTGGGAAGAAGGGAATGATAAAGGTTACTTAAGTAGATACTCTTGACTTTTTTACTTTTCTTGCTTCATTGCAGGCCCAGAACTGCCTCACTAAGCTTTACAAGCTAGATAAAATGCAGTTTCGTCAAACTATGAGGGACTATGTGAACAAGGATTCCCTCAATAACGTAGTGGATTTCTTGCATGCTTTGCTAGGATTCTGTATGGAACCAGTCACTGACAGTAAGTATGGCTGCCACTGTAAGCAGTAGGAGAGACCATGATGAGGTAGGCTGTATACTATTTGGAGTCACCCCAAGTTCCTTGAGGTAGAATATATTTAGAAATACATAAGCATGTATTTCTAGTACTCGTGAAATGAAGGAAAGATGAGTACGATCTTTCAGGACATACTACTATGGAAAATTTTCCTCTGCAAAGTATGTCTAGATTAATGGTCTATAAACTGTAATGGGTAAACTATCAGTGGTCTGACAAGTCTTTATTCTTATAGGTCTTTATTCTTTGTCCCTCAACTGCTATTCAGCCTACCTTCCTTATCTTTCTGATGCAAAAAACTGAGTCAAGTGCTCCAAGACTCTAAGAAATAAAAGAGGAAATATAGACAGATGCATGTTAATGTGTATAGCTACATAACATATGTAATATAAGTACGTATAATATACACACACTTATATGTAAATGCAATGAATGAAACAATTGAGACTTCAACTTGAAGATTGCCTCTAATTGTTTCTGCACTGTAGTATTTGCCAGAATAAATAAATTATATTAAAATTACGTAGGTATAGAGCTATAAACTGTTTCATAGGTATATGACCATAGGTAAACTATAGAGGACATCAGATCAAATCCCAGCTCTGTCACTTACTGCCCTGTGATCTTGGGCACATAGAGCCTTAGTTTTCTTATCAGTAAAACAAAAGTATGGGACTAGATGAGCCTTGAGGTCCCTTCTAGCTCTAAATATTTGATTCTTCTACAACTGTTCAAGTACGTGCTTATTGTATGCAAACTTCAACTGGAATAGAACAAACATTTCAAATATATTTTTAATGCAGATGCAGCTATACACTCACATTTACATCTGTTTTTCTTGCTATTGTTATAGTTTATATAAAACAGCGCCTGTAATAGCATGTATTCAAGTCACTATAAAGAAACTATTTTATAAAGCTTTCTCTTCATGTCCCTGGCTACAGTATTTTCCTTATCACTAGGGTGCCTCTTTTCTATCTAATCCTCAATGTAAGAAGAAAGACTTTGTTAAATGTGTTTAAACCACAGACATCAATCCAAATACAAAAGCAGTTATGCATTTGCCAAGTATGTACTAATGGAGAAATTAGTGATTGCAAAATAATGTACATTTGTACCATTGCAGGAAGATAAAACTGGCATAGGCTATAAAATAATTTCTATTCAACAACATACTAGGTATGATTTCCAATAATCCTGAAGTCCATAGTACACAATTAGTAAGCTGGTTCCTAACATATAAAAGGAAGCAATAAGTGTTCCTTTTAGAGAGATGGTTTAACTAAAAGTTAATTCAAAGTCAGTCATGAATAATTAGTTCATCATGGACCCCAATTTGATTAAAGCTAGGAACTCAGCTTTTGGTCATTCCCTATCCTTTGCAGCCAATAAGTTAAGTCAAGTCAATGAGTATTTATTAAGCACTTATTATATACCCAGCACTATGCTAAGTGCTGAAGATACAAAGCAAAGCAAAAAAAAAAAAACTCTCTGCCCTGCAGGAATTTACATTCTGATGAATATGCATTACTAATAGGTATTTAAATGCTAGATTGAGATTTTGATGTCCTGATGGGAACAGGTTGAAGCCATTTGCTATCAGCATGCTTTCCCTCTCTACACCCTTGGGCACTTAATGGGGTTTGAGAGGGGCGGGGAGGGTGCAGCTGAAGAAGAAAGGCTGTGCAAGGTCCACAGCTCTTCTCTAATATCCTTTAGGCCTTTATGGCTGAAAATTGATAAAGATGAAATGTTGGTGTCTACCACCACACTTCCTTCCCTTTGTTCTCTATGATTTATCTCCACAAAGGTTCTCGCCTATTTTCCTCTCTTATCACATCTTTATTCAGACCATCATCTCTCTCTATATTATTGTAATTGCCTCATATCTTGTCTTTGTGTCACAATCTCTTCCCATGCCTCTTCAAATAGATTCTTCTTCAATAATCATGTTAATTTTCACAAGACTATTACTCTTCTGCTCAAAAATTGCTTTTCTATTTGGTAACTCCTACTGCCTGTAAGAGAAAATACAAATTTCTTAGCCTCATCCTTAAAGAAGGCCCTTCTGTGACTTGTTTCCACCCTATTTTTCCAGCATAATTTCATATTAGTCCACTACTACTACTACTACTACTACTACCACCACCACTACCACAACTACCACTACCATTGCCACTTCTACTATCACTACTACTACTACTATCTAGCATTTTATAGCACTTTAAGATGTACAAAGACCTTTACATATGTTATCTCATTTGATCCTTGCTCATAATGCCATCCAGTCCTCTCCCAATCAATTAATAATAATAATAATTAGTGTTTACATAGTGCTTTAAAGCTTGTAAAGTGCTTACAAATGTTTAATCACTTTATCTGCACAACAACTCTGTGAGGTAAGTGCTTTAGCCTCACTTTACAGATAAGAAAACCCAGACAGATTGAAATTAAGTGACCTGCCTAGGATCACTAGCTCTTTCATATATGAATCAGAATTTGAACTCAGGTCCTCTTCACTCCAGGTCAGTGCTCCATCCAATTTACCTCCATTTAACTCAATAAGCATTTATTATGTAAATGTAAGCCACTCTCCCCCAGTTTACATTTAATCAAAAGAGATTATGCATACGTAGCTCAGCACATATGGCCACCACCCTAGTTCAAACTGCAATAGTAAAAACATCTCTCACAAGGACCATTAAAATTGGCTCCTAATTGGTCTCTTTTTTGTCTCTTTTTTCCAATTTATCCTCCACACAGTTCCCAAAGTGATAATCTCAAAGCATAGGATTGATTGTCACTCCCCTACTCAATAAATTCCAGCAGTTCCTTATTACCATGAGGGTTAGAAGCAAACACTTTCTTGGCTTTTAAAATACTTTATAACTTGCCACCATTCTAACTATCTAGTCCCAGTATGTATTATTGTACAGCTTTATTATACGTTACTTCCTTTCATATGCCCTCTTGTCAAGTCAAATTAGCCTTGCTTCCACTTATCTTCCATTCATCCTGTACTGGACTCCCTTCTACCTTTAGTCCTTTTATCCTTTAGTTACTTTTTACCTTTAAACCCTTTTATTTAAAGGGCCAGATCATGTGTCACCTTCTCCTCAAACCTGTTCCCCTTCCCTCCTTAAAGGTCCATTCCTTAAGTTACATGTTTTGTATTCCCAGGATGTGACATAGTCCCTTGTGCATACACTCACATCAAAGACCTGTGACTTCCTAGGTGTGGGAGCTCCTGGTGTGAGAAATGTCACCATTAACTGCTGATGGCTTGGCCTCTAACTTCCTGTCTTTAAAAGTTGTTTGAGGCTCAGAAAACATGAGTTTCCCATAGCCACACCACTACTGATTATATAGAGATTCCGTGTGAACGTAATCACACACTATCTACTCTCCCATGCTTCTTCCTTGTGCATAGTTTGCCTTTTGCTTAGTTGGTGCCTGATGCTTGTTTTTTGGATTAGATTGATTTCCATGTCAGAACTCTCTTGCTCTTTTGCCTTCTAGCCTCACTTCATACTTCCTTCCAGTGTTTCCTTCTTACTCCTTCAACACAGTAATTTAAGTAAGGAGTTTAGCTGAATGTTGGTGAACTCTATGATATACTATTTAAACCTTGGGGGCACTATTTCAAACAGAAGAGATCATTGTTAAAAAATAATTCTACATCTGAAAGTCTTTACTTCCCTCCAAAAAAAGATTAGGATTATAGGATCATATATTTAGAGCAGAAAGAAACCTTAGAGATCATCTAATTCAACCTCTTCATTTTACAAATGAGGAAACTGATGCTCAAAGCCTTCTTCTAGTTCACACAGCTAGTACACAACAGAGCTAAGAGTTAAGCCCAGGTTCTCTGACTGACCTAGTGTTCTTTCCATTTTCACCCTCAGATGCTATCAAAAGATTCTATAAACAAGATAAAATTGTTATCTAAAAGAAGAGGCTGTAAAGGGAGTGCTGTTGATTTGTTTCAAAGTCTTCAGGGTATTATTATGACTTTTGTTTCATTATGTGTCTCTTTTTGCTAGTGAATTGTTCACAGGATCCCATTGTTTCACTGGGCAAATTGCCTGTAAATTGTACCTTTGCTTTCCAGATAAGGCTGGGTTTGGGAACAACTTCACCACAGTGGACAACAAATCCACAGCCCAGAATGTGGAAGGCATTATTGTCAGTGCTATGTTTAAATCCCTCATCACCCGCTGTGCGTCTACTACGCATGAACTACACAGCCCTGAAAACCTGGTGAGGATCTCTCTGCAGAAGGGTATGCCATCTCAGATACAGGAGAGGGCTTAAAACCAGAGCAACAAAGAAGACAAAAGACAGAGGGGGGTTTGGGGGGAAATATTAGACTGGAGAGAAGATTCTTCTATTTTGTTGCTGTTCTTTCAGCACCAGCTGTCAATGATTCAGTGGGGAACCTTAAGAGCACACTTAACCTTCTCTTTATTCCACTTTCCTGACTGAAGAATTTCTGAGATGGGAAAGAGGAAAGTAGAGAAGGATTTATTAACCACTCATCTTATGAAGATCCTCTGATCATTTGTGAGATGTTTGCAATGGGCTTTGAGATCCATCAAAAAAGGCTGCTAAAGTAGGTATGGATTTACTCAAAATTGTCAAGCCCAACCCTGGCTTGAGTGTGGGAATTTTTGAGTGAACTCCATCCTGAGAATGAATTTACAAGAAACCAGGAAGCTGCAATGGAATCATGTATGTGAGGCTGCCCCAAACCCTATAATTACAAAACTGATAATTTTAGGAAGATCTTGGAGAACAGAATGCCCTCTTAGTAGATAAAGGTACAAAATGACCCATTTCAGACAAGTATGTGAATTCATTTTGCTTGATTATACTTGTTTGCTACACAGAAGGGTTTTACAGAGGGGGTGGTGATACTGAAACAAGAAAGAAAGGAAAGAATGTTAATTAATTATTTTTTAAAAATACATAGGAGAGAGTAGAAGGAATTCAGAAGGGGTCACAGTCGAGTGGGGCATTGTTGGAACTAACTCGTTAAAATTTAAATATATTTAATGAAATCAGCCATACATAATGAAGATTCACAGTTTCATATGCTGTCCTCTTTTTCTCTTTGCATGGGGAAATGTTTATGGTTTTGGTGTGTTGCATTCATAATAAAAAAATTAAATAACAGAGAAGGCATGCCGTTACAACAAAATCTTAATGATTTTATTTACACTATTCCAAATTATATTTGCTTTTGTAATTAAAGCAAATATGCTATAGAATGGTTGCCATTGTATGTTAATTGAAGGCTATAATCTGACATCTACTATGCCCATAGTGTGACTGAGTTGATTAAACTTTGCTTGGGGCCTTAAACAGTCTACTGGGAAAGGCCAGCAAGAGGTGATCACTTAATTGCTTCAGAAGAAATTGTGTCTTGGAATAGTGCTGCCAAAAGCGACTGAAATAGGTTCCTGCAGATCCAAGCTGCATTCTAACCAGTTATATATGTGATAACTTCATTTGCACATTAGCACATAAATGATTCTGTGGGGAATTGTAGCATAAGTCCTGCCCAAATTCAGAAAATCATTTAGAACTCTAAAGACTCAGATTTGAAAAGAGAATAAACAAAGAGGGACCAAGTGAAAGCTATTTTTCTTGACTTACAAAATCATCAAAGCAAGGTTCCCAGTGACTGTTTCATAAATACCTTTTAGAGGGTTTGCTTATCCCCCCTCCAGGCCTCTCTTCTCCACTTATGACAAGCAAGACAATTTCATCAAAAAGTATCCATATTTCAAAGTATGTTAACACACCAGTTGTGTTGGACTGACCAAACTAATTCTTAAGATCCATACAGAACAAATCTGGCTATTTAGATAGCACCTTGGGCTAGAAATGGACAGATTTTTATTTGTGAACTATAAGAGTGGTCCATATCCCTGAACCCATCCATTGTACCACATTGTCTTTAAAATGACCAGGCTTAGTGAAGAAGACCTTTCAAGCAGAATTATACCAATTTTAGCTGAGGTAGAGATGATTTTTAAAAAAAAATTTTAGAGATGATTTTTTAAAATGCTTTTGGACAAAGGTTGAAGACTAGAACCAAAACCCAAAGGAATAGCTTCCTTCTATTTCCTCCTTTGATAATAATTAAGAATTGTCAGTAGAAGCCTGGGAATTGGAGAGCTGAGGCTATAATATTATAATTATTATACTATATTTGATGATCTTCTTGATTTTATTTTAAGTTAATTTTATTTTTTTCAATGACCAAATATCTACTATCTACTATGTCTACGTACCACTCATCTTCCCACTGGGGAGAAAAAGTTGTAGTAAGTATACATAGTTCAGAAAAAAAAATATTCCTACATTGGCCATATCCAAAGTATACATACATACATACATACATACATACATACATACATACGTATATATAATTTTTTGCCCAGAGTCCAATACTTTTCTGAAAGGAGTGGTGTAGCAAGCCTTATCATCAGTCCTCCAGAATTGTGGTTGGTCATTGCGTTGATCAGTGTTGTCTTTCAAAGTTTGTCATTGCAACTTTGTTGTTATTATATACATTTTTCTCCTAGTTCTGCTCTTTTCAATCTTTGTTGGTTCATACCAGTCTTCTCAGATTTTTCTAAACTGTCTCTTTCATGATTTCTTATATCACAGTGGCTTTCTGTTACATATACTATATATATGCACACATATGTTGTATGTGTATGCATGTGTATGTAAATGTACATATAAATATACACAAACTTCAAAATTTATTCAACCATTTTCAATTTACAGGCACTCCTTTAATTTCTATTTCTTTGCTACCATAAAAAGAACAACAATTATGAATATTTTTATACGTATGGGTCTTTTTCAAATTTCTTTGATCTTTCAAATATAGGCTTAGCAACACAGCTTTAACACCTTCTAGAGATGTAGGATAAAATTGTTCCTCAAGTTTTCACTTGAAAGATTTCTGTGTATATTATCCCAGTGGTAAATCACCCATTTAGTCAATTTCAACACTATCCTAAGCCTTCTTTTTCAGGCTCCATGAGAAAACTATCTGTTGATAAAGCTTCCTGTCTTTCCTGCTATACCTCATGCTTGTCATTACATAGGGGCTCTATTGTGACATCCGGCAGCTGGTTCAATTCATCAAAGAAGCTCATGGAAATGTTTTCAGGAGGGTTGCCCTGAGTGCCTTGCTAGACAGTGCAGAAAAGCTAGCCCCAGGAAAAAGATCAGAGGAGGCAGAGCAGGACTCAAAACCCTCAGGGAGCAAAAGGTATGTCCATGTGTGTGAAGGGAACTCTTTGAATGTTTCCATCAGTCTTATGACAATATAGTATTTTGATCTTTTGCATTTTGTGTTCAGATCCTGATGGTTCTTAAGCACAGGAGTGGTAGATGATTCTCTTACTAACAATGCCAGTGTCTTTGATAGATATTAGGCTCAATAAAACAATCAGAACTCTTCAGATTATCTGTTCTCCCCTTTGAAAGACCCAAGACTTGCTTCAACTCCCCTATACTTGTGATTCAAGTTAATGAAGAAGTTCACTAATGAAGCAAAATTTTATGTGTTTCAGTTGTGTCCACTGATATTTATCATTTTGATTTAGGAATAATAATCCATGATACACCAGTTTCTGCTCTCTGTAATAGGAGAGGGGTTGGATCTGTGGATCGATTGATATAGGGAACTCCAGGTGGGGAAACTCCCTCTTATCAGTGAAGGTGAGCACCTTGTCTGCAATTTCTAGCCTTAGTGGCCTAGATAAAGCACTGAGAAGTTAAGTGTTTTACCCAGGGTCACATGAGTAGTATGTGTCAAAAGCAGAACTTGGCCCCAGATATTCTTGGCTCGGAGGCAAGTCCTCCACTGTATCATAGCTGCCTTTTTAGAGGTGATTGAAGTAAAGCAGCAGAATATGATTGATAAACAAAGGCAGTTTCCTAAATTATTTTTCCTATTAGGAATATCAAACTTGGTTTGATGCATGTTGTGTGAAAAATTCTATGCCCTAGTAGATACAAAGAGAAACCTCTAAATTATTTTTTCATGTCTTTTGTTTTTGCATCACAGGCATTTCTGGACATACTATCAATCTCATATCTCAGTTAAACCCTCCCCCATAACAAGGAAAAGCATTTTGTCCAAAATGTCTAAAACCATATTATGTATGTCATATACAACCCAAAAAGCCCTCAGCCTCTCTAGCAATAGAAGAGATGTATTTAGTTATCTAGTCTCTAGCACCAGGATCAGTTTTTCAATCCTTAAGTTTTTCTTCCTTTTAGTAATCTGGAACTACCTAAATCTGAGGTTCTTCATGCTATATGATTTAATAACTTTGCTTGGCAAATATATTATCAGAATGTATTTTAATGTCAAAGGAAGTATAGCATACTGGATAGAGAGCTAGCACTTGAGCCAGGAACCCTAGGTTGGAGTGCTGCCTCTGAAACATACTATGTTTTCCTGGGCAAGTCAATCATACTCTAGCAGTGGTGTCAAACGCAAAAAGAACTGGGGACTACTAATCTATCGATAAGGATGCTGTGGGCTGCATATTGACTTAGTTTTCAAATGAATATTATCTTCATTTTGTTATATTTTTAGTTATTTTGTCAAATGTTTCCCAATTCCATTTTAATCTGATTCTGGCCTTGGCAGTGTTACAGACCATATGGGCCACAAGTTTGACATCTCTACTCTAGATAACTCTCTTAGATTGTGAGTCACAGTTTCCTCATCTAAGATTTCTGTATACTAGTGAAATCACAGTTCCAGTGTCTCTCCCAGAATGCCAGAGGCTGGATTGTGTAGTAAATAGAGAGGTGGACATGGCTAAGTTCAAGATTTCCCCCTAACACATTCTGTTTGTATGACCCTGAGCAAATACCATAACCTCTCAATGCTCTAGGCAACTCTTTAAGACTTTAAGTTGGAGAGAAGGTGTTCATATGCATTGGTAGAGGGAGCTTCCCCACCAGGACATTCCTTATTATCAGTAAAATAACAGGTCCAGTCCCTTTCATAATTTAAAAGGGGTAACCAAGAGCTAAATTCACATTTGTTATACCTTAATATCAAATACAAATTATTAAGTGATGGCATTTTCGAGAGGATTAGAGATTTTGTTTAGCATTGTGTGTGTTATCAGTATCATGTATGTTTTTACAAAATGGCTGCCTACTTTATTGAATGGAAATTAGCACATTGTAATTGATGGAATAAACTATTCCCTCAGATCAGAGGCTGGACTTGACAAAGGCCAGGTATCATCAGCACCTGATGAATGTCGCAGCTACATGTCTGGCCGTCCCTTGCAAACTCCAGAGCAGTAAGTATCAGAAGACTTGGTCCCAGAGATACATCACAATAGTTAAAGACTTTTCAGTGAAGGAAAAATTCTACTAGAGAATTATTGAATTGTCCACTGAAATGACTCACATTCATTTGGTTTTTTTTCTGATTCTTCCACCTTCACTCTAGGCTCAGCCTTAATCATCTCATAACTAGACCACTCTAAGAACCTCTCGAATTCTGCCTATATTGTATTCTCCCTGTAGTCCCTGAACAAATTACTTTTCTGAAGATCCTACTTTGATCCTAATGTCTCTTCTGCTCAAAAGTTTCCAGTTGCTTCCTATTGCCAATAAAAGTCAAACCCTGCAACATGGTGATCTATTATCTCTCCCACACTTGTATAATTTGCGTAGTCAAGCAAACAAATTTGTACATTCTCTATATATAAAAAAAGTCTCATTCTGTACCCTGAGTCCATCACACCTCTGTCAGGAGGTGGGTAACAGGCTTCATCATCAGGCCTCAGAAAAGGTTCATAATGTTGATTGGAATTCATAAGTCTTTCCAAGTTATTTATCTTTTCATTGTTATTGCTGTTGAATAATTTTTTCTCTTGGTTCTGCTTACTTCACTTTGAAACAATTCACACAAGTCTTTTCAGGCTTCTCTGAAACTGCCCCTTTTCATAATTTTTACTGTACAATATATTCAGTTATATTTGTATGCCATAATTTTTCCAGTCATTCACCCAAATTAATTGGCACCTCCTTAGTTTCCAATTATTTGCCCCCACAAAAAAGTGCTGCTATAAATATGGTTGTATATATAAGATTTTTGACCTTTGATTTTTTTTTAGGTTATGCCCCATAGTAGTATTATTTGGGCAAAGAATATGCATAGTTTGGTAAATTTATGAGTATAGTTCCAAATTCCTTTCCAAAATTAATGTACCAACTCATAGCTCTACCAACAGTGCATTAATGAGTCATTTTTCCCTTTTTGTCAATTTTGCCAATCTGATGAGTGTGAGGTAGAAACTCAGAGCTGTTTTAATTTGTATTTCTCTAATTATTAGTAACTTGGAGCATTTTTTTATTATGGCTATTAATAGTTTGGATTAATTCCTTCAAAAACTGCATGATCATATCCTTTGATCATTTACTAATTGGGAAATGTATATTCTTATAAATTTGAATTAGTCTTATATATATAACTTTCTCAGGGAAATTCATTTCAAAGATTTTTTCCCCCAGTTACCTATTTCCCTTTCAATTTTAACTGCATTGATTTTGTTTTTGCAAAAGCTTTTAAATTCATGTGTTCAAAATTGTCTATTTTATCTGTTGTGATCCTCTTTTCCCCTTCCTTGTTGATGAATTGTTCCCCCATACAGAAATCTGATGATCTTATGATGTCACCCAATATGTCGAAGTTATTTATCCATTTATTCCCAGAACTTAGTGGGCATATGGTATGAGGTTTTTGGCCTATACCTAGTTTCTTCCAGACAGCTTTTCACTTTTCCCACTAGTTTTTGCTAAATAATGAGTTCTTAGCCCCAGAAGCTGAGGTCTTTGGGTTTATTGAAAATTAGGCTACTATGTTTATTTGCTTCTTTGTTTATGTGCCTAATCTGCTCCATCAGTCTTATTTCCCAACCTGAGAACTTCAATCCAGCCACCCTATTTACTATCTCCCAGATATACCTATACCATCTTTTTACTCTTGACTGTATCTCTTGTGTCTGTTGTTCTGCTTACTTGGAATGCCCTTGACCCTTCTCTCTTCCCATCTATACTCTACCCATTCTTCAATATACAACTAATCTATCACTATTAGTCTTTCTCTGAGTACTGTGATCTTTGCTCTTCCCTTTCTCTGAATTCATGTAGCGCTTCTTGCTTATTATACATCAAATAAATGAGAGAATGCATATGAAAACACTTACACTGAAATGTTACTAAGATGCCAGTCTTTTTTTTTTTAAACTGGTCCTGTGATTTCACCAGTGCAGGAAGCCTAGTGTTTGATAAACCCAAAGACCTCTGGGTTAAGAAGTCATTATTTAACAAAAATTGTTAGGAAAACTGGGAAGCAGTTTGGCAGAAACTACATATAGACCAACATCTCGCACCATATTTCCAAATGGGAATTCTCCAAATGGTATTCTCCAAGCAGACAATTGACTTAGATATAAATGGTGACAAACAATTAGAAGAATAAGGAAGAAATTACCTTTTGTATATAATAGGGGAACAGTTTGTGACTGAAGAAGGAATTTCCTCTAAAAATACAGATAGGCATCTTCCCTGTAACTTTTAACCCTGTAGAATTCTAAGTGATTTGCTCAGGATCATGGAATTAGTATGTCAGAGTCGAGACTTGAAACCAGGCTTTCCTGATTCCAACACCAGCTTTTTTTATCCACTAGTCTAGTGGTATCAAATAGAAATGGATCCCTATGGGCCACATATTGTCTGAGAAAACCACAAATTAACATTATCTATGTTTATTGTATTTTCATTTATTTTGTTAAATGTTTCCAATTACATTTTAATCTGGTTTTTCAGACTGTACTTGGGAGTTTTGCAGGCAAGCACAATTTGACAAATCTTCATTATATCATGTAATCTCTCAATAGACTACCAATTATTAACAATGATTATTTGTATGATATGATTTCATAGCATAGCATGAAATCACATATTGAGATTAAAAAATTATTGGCTAGCTTATACTTCTTACTTACATCTATGTAATATCCCCAACTAGATTATAAACTAGGTGGTACGAGATGTATCTTAACGTGATTGAGACCCCAATTTGTTCAGTAACAAAGAAGCTTAATATAGTATCACTCTAAAATATAAGGTATTTGGCCTATGGTTCCCTTTTTACTTTCCCTTCCTCTTGTGTTCCACTACTTTTTGGCAAACACTAACTCATGCCCACAGGACAATGATGCCATGGAAACTTCTTTCCCCTAGAAGCTCACTTCACCACTGAACTATTTCTCACACTGGAAGCACCAAAGTACTCGGTGCCCCTGTGACTTCTTTCTCTCTGATTGACTGATCCCTCCTAGAATCTCCATATTAAGGAGATTCAGACCAACTGTGTCTTCCTTTGTCTCCAAGCTTCATTGATGACTCATCTTCACAGAACTTTCTCTACCATACCCCCGTGCTGGGTACCTTTACCCCATCTACACACTTTTCAGTCCTTATGATTATTTTCAACTTGGAGCAGCAATATTCTTCCTTGCCTTCAGCTGATCACTGAATCCATCCTTCCCCTGTCTCATCTCTTTGGAGATTAAAAGTTCTTGGACTTTCCCAGTGCTTTGAAGTTTCCACTTCATTCCCTTGATAGTTCAGTCCCTTCTTCAAACTGGAAAAACTATGCTTCCCTTCAATCCCCTGGAAGATAAGGGATATGCTTCTTTCATACTGCCTTCAGTAACTACCAGAATTCTGTATACCTAAAGGGAATGAAGGGTCAAAGACTATTGAATGGGTAGGTCTGTTGAATGATGAAGTAGTAGTAGCCAGTCCAGTGAAATAAAAGTACTACGTTATCTCATTTTTGAATAAACATAGCTTCCCTTCTTTCTCTGAATTCTGATCCTTTTCCAATTGGGCCCCATGCCCAATGTCCCTTCATCAGTTTCTCTACTTCTCACACTGGCAAAGCTTAAAGATATCAGATCAGTGTTTCCATGATGTGACAGATGTGGTAAGTGCTTAAAAAATAGAAGTAGTACTATGAAAAACTCATTAATAATTCTTTCAAGCTATACTGGAAAACCTATTTGCTATTTAACTGCAGGTGGCTTTGATGTCATATCCTGTGAACATGCACCTCTCTTGATTTGTAATCATATTTTATAGTCATCATCAGGTATTTCAGCAATGTCTTAAATCAGCAGCTATTTTTACTCAAAACAGAGCAGATATTGTAGCCTTCTTTTTGTGGAAAGGGAAACTAAGGCATAAAGTAACAGAGGGTCCCAGGAAAATCCAAGAAAAGAAGTTGGACTAGGACTCATAGAAACTCAAAGATAGAACAGATATCAGAGACCATTTAGTCAGATCCCTACATGAATGAGAATTTCTATATGTCCAACAAATGTTGTCCAGTCTTCACTTAATATGTCAAGTGTGGGGGGGTGAATACAGCAATGTAAAGCTGTAGTTGGCCCTCCCTCCTCTCCCCCCACTTAACAATTCATTTTACTTTTGTGTAGCTCTAATTGTTAGGGGAAGGCAGCTAGGTGGCATGATGGATAGAATGTGGGCCTGGAGCCAGGAACACTCATCTTCCTGAGTTCAAATCTGGCCTCAGACACTTAGTAGCTGTGTGACCCCGGGCACGTCACTTTACTCTGTTTACCTCAGTTTCCTCATCTGAAAAAATGAGCTGGAGACAGAAATGGCAGACTATGCCAGTATCTTTGCTAAGAAAACCCCAAAATGGAGTCACAAAGAGCCAGACTCCACTGAAATAACTAAACAGCAACAATAAAAATCATTAAGGAATTTTTCTTAATGTCAGGACTCTTTATAACTTTTAAACATTGTTTCTAGTTTGCCTTCTGATCTTGGCCAAGCAGAATAAATGTTTCTCTTTGTGTTTTCATAATTTTATTCTTTAGAGCTTCCATACCTGGTTTCTACCCAAGAATTTCATCCATGTAATACTAGGTATTCTTTCTTGGAAGCCTTTGAAATCTCCCCTCCCAAAATATAAAGTACATGTTAGACACCATAAGACTGACCCAACACATTCCCATTTGACACAGTTACCCAAGTTATAAAATGTGTAAACAGTCCATCCCACCTGTTGTCAGTAGCACTAGTATGGTAAAGGAAGGTTCCCCCTAGGGGAGCGCCTTGATAGTGGTGGGACCTGGGGGTGGGAGATTGACAGTCAGGACACAGAAAACTTCCTCTACCCATGGCAACAATATGAGATAAGAACTGGTCAGTGTTTCTTTGTTTCCTCATTGAACTATGCCTTAAGTCCTCAATTGACCCCACACATGTCCCCTAGATCTCTTCGGTTGGTACTATAAGACAAAGCCTTAGTGACCCATATTATTTACAGCTCTGCATATACCTACTTACTTTTTTTCTATTTCTTATTTTGCCTTTCCCTTTGTTCTTTTTAATCTTCCGTCTTTCTATAAAGGTCACGTTGACTGAGTAATACTCAAACTAATAATGCTTTTTAAGTTCTCATTTCTCTGGAACTCGTTATTGATATAAACCCATTAGACAAAACTAATGTACCACCCTCTCAGGCAAAGTTGACAAATGGTCCCACTGTATCCTTTTTTCCCCTTCAGAGGGTTTACTCATAACCCTGATCAGAATGTCATGAATTCTCTGTAGGTGAGAAACTGCATGAAACATGAATATTTTATGTGACCCTACAGAGGAATTCACTTCTAGCAAACCAGCATAGGTTCATTTTAGAATAGAAAAATAAAACTTCAGGTTAACAAATAAGAATTCAAAGGTCATGAATCACTGGTAAGCTTTGGGAGATGAAACTGGATTCTGCATATGTTTCTCCATAAAAACTGCATCAAAAAATGAATTTCTTTCACAGCACCTAGGAAAGATTCCAAATCTCTCTCCAAGGTCTACAAGCAAATTTAAAATTATTGTTTCAAATCCCATAAACACTGACTATATCACTTGTTTCTGGTTCACGTTGATTTCCAAAACCTAACTTAAGTGTCTAGGATTTCTCAGTAGTTGGAAGTTTTAGTCCCTAAGCTCGGTAATAACTGTTAATAGAATGAGAATTATATAGTTACTGGTGTTTTAGAAATACAGTTACTGGTGTTTTAGAATGAATTGTCTCTGCTGTCGTGACTCATAGGCACTAAAACGCTTGTCAAATGAAGCACTTACATATTTTTTAAAGAGTAAAAGCAAATAAATGAAGGCACATCCATTTGACAATATAGCAATATGTCTTTGGGAGAAATCAATACAGTGCTGTACTGGTAAATATTTAACCACCAGGTCTCCAGGGAGAGGCGGGGCTGTGAAATAGTGTATGCAGTATGTACATGGTTAAGTTTCACATGCATAATTTTTTATCCATCACTTTCCTAAGTCTAGATCATCATCAACAAAACAATAACTAAAATCCTGATTTTTAGCATTTGCCAATTTCTGAAGTATCATCCTGGAAATTTAACAACCATCTCTTGGGAATAAGTTCAAGCTGATTTTAGCACACCCCTGAGCCAATATCAGATCAAGCCTTTTGGGAGAGGCCCTATGTCATAATGGAAAGGGTGTTAGACTTGAAGTCAGGAAGATCTTAGTTCAAATCCCACCTCAAACTCTAACCAGCTGCATCACCCTTAGCAAGTCACTTAACTTGTCTGTGTCACTGAGTTATACCCAGTTTCTAAGATCTCTTCTGGTTCTAAGATTTTCACTTTTTCCCCATACTGTGGTGCTTCCCTTGTCATTAATTATACAGTTATATAAAATTATATATGAGATAATGCACATTAGCAAGTTTGGGAGAAAGGTTAAAAGGAAGGTAATTTTGTGGTAAGTGCAGAAAGTGAGTTCTGCTGCTATTAATCCTAGATTTTGTTTGCTCACAGTGATGAACAGATGCAAGGGGCAAACCTGGGACGCAAAGATTTCTGGCGCAAGATGTTCAAATCTCAGAGTGCAGCAAGTGACACCAGCAGCCAGTCGGAGCAGGACACATCAGAATGTACCACTGCTCACTCGGGGACAACCACTGATAGGCGGTCACGTTCACGGTCCCGGCGGATTTCACTCCGAAAGAAACTAAAACTCCCCATAGGTAAAAGTAGGTCTATTTATTTATTTGTTTCTTTATTAATTATTTTGTACATAAGTATGCTTGCAGTATAATAGGGAGCAGAAATTCCATGCAAGTGAATGGAAGAATATTACTAATTCATCCTGTCAATCAATTAAAAAGTATTCACCAAGCATCCACTATGTCCTAGGTAGTATCGTAGGCAATGGGCATGACCATTTTATTTAAAGCCTATTCCTGCATATTTTCATCCAAGGCATATAGACTGAAGAATTTCTCCTCATTCATGTTCTATCATATTGAGGCACTTTCCCTGTTTTAAGGATATATGCTGGGATTCTCGCTTGACTGAGATTGCAGAGAATACTGAGCTGTGTTAATAGACTTTGTCTATCAAATAGGAAACTGGCTAAAGAGATCATCTCTCTCGGGCCTAGCGGATGGTGTGGAAGATCTTTTGGACATTAGCTCAGTAGACCGTCTCTCTTTCATCAGGCAAAGCTCGAAGGTAAAGTAACCATCACTTGTTGGGAAAGTTAAATGAGCTAATAAAACTTTCAATGCTGGGAATATCATAGAATGATAGATTTAGAGTTAGAAGGGACCTTAAAGGTAATCAAATACATTTTCCTGTCTTTTACAGATGAGGAAACTGAGACAGAGAGGTTAACACAACTAATCACACAACTAGTGAGTGCAAAAGGCAAGATTTGAAACTGAGTCTGCCTAACTTCAGCTTCAGCCCTCTATTCAACTCAGGAGTCCACTGAGGTGTAATTCAAAAGGCCTTTAAAGCGAACAAATTTGGAAACGATCAAAGAAAAGCAATTGAAACTGAAGATGAATGAGTAGTAGTCTATATGCAACTATTTTAGAGACAGCTAGTTGGCAAAATAGACAGAGGTCTGGGCTGAGAATCAAAAAGATGCTAAATCCTGTCACAGATATTAACTAGCTGTGTGACCTTAGACAAGTCACTTAACTTCTTCCAACCTCAGCTTCCTAGTCTGTAAAATGAGAGGCTTGGATGCTGTAGCCTCAAGGTCCCTTCTAGCTCTGTTTATAACCATAATTTGGCAGGTTTTTAATATTGAACCTCAACAGTTTATGAGAATCTTGGCGTTGTGGAAAGAAAACACAGTATTTACAATTTAGAATAAAAACTAGTATAAAGTTTCATTTGCTCCATTGTTATGAGCCAAAGCAGGGAAAAAACATCGCTTGGCACAAAGAGCAGGATGTCACCTTCTAAATATGAGTTATTGCCCGTAGGTACTTAGTGTATGCAGAAACCACATCGTCATACTGACCACTCTGGTACTGGCCGTGGAAATAGCTTGTTGTTAGAAGAGAAGATATGTAATATGGCAGTTTCTCTGACATTCTTTCTCATCTCCTCCACAACTCCCCTGCCTTTGCCTGCCTGGAAGGAAGGAAACACCATTCCATTGTGCTCTGTAGTCACCTGCGTAACCAGTAACTTCCTCTACTTCCCCCTTTCTAGTTTTCCAACTACACACTGCTATCTAATGCCCTGAAAATTCTCTACCCTAAGGCCAGACTCCTGAGGATGTTGATATCCTACCTGAATCACTCCTCAATGATTAATAAATTCGCGCCCTGTCATACCCTCCCCATTCCAGCAGTTCTGAAGACCTCTCTGTCATTATCTAATCTTTGTTCTCTCCCACCCCCACCATTGCTTGCTCTCTATTCCTATTCCCCTCAACCCAACACTATCCCCTCCCACCCACCCAATACCATACTTTAAGGCAGAGGTTTCCAAACTTATTTGGCCTGCCACTCCTTTTTCAAAAAAAAATTACTCAGTGTCCCCCTGGAAATCTACTTTCTTTAACCCTTTAATGTTTTTTTAAAATTTGTGTCATTTCAAAAAAATATATAAAATATTTTAAAATGATGCATCTTAAATTTAATAATTAATTGGGGGGGTGGGGTCCTGCATTGAAATTTTGACAGTGTAATATTGTGTCATGTAACCAGATAGTATTGTATTATAAACAAGTCATTAATGCACATATTCCTGCTGATGCATGCTGGACTTCCCAACAATGAGAGACATGCTTGCCTGCCAACACTTGCTTGTTAAGACCCTTCAGTGGACTTGACCACTGATTGGCTATAATTTGCATTTTGTGTGTTTATTTGGAAAATAATGTAATCACTATGACTTTAACTCTGATACACCACAGATGAAATAAGTACAGACAGTTTTTCAAAATTTTCTTCTTTTCTTTTTTCCTTATGCTTCCACCACACCCTTATTTTACTCAACACTCCCCAATTGCACCCAAGGCTACCACTGACCCTCTGGATCTTTTCAGCAGCCCTCCCAGGGGCAGTATCACCCACTTCGGAAATCTATGCAAAGCTACCCCTCCTTTCTACTGTGTTCTCTGGACACCCATAGGTAACAAACTACCTTTCATATTGAACCATTTCTTTTCTTGCTTCTTTCATCTTCTTGCAGTCACTGAAACCTGACCCACTGGTGATGACACAACTTCCCTGGCCACCCTTTCCAGCTCTGATTATACTGTCACTTATATTCTTTTACTCCCTGGTCAGGTAGGGGAGTTGAAATACTTCTTGCTCCCCATTGCCACTTCTAGGCTCTCTCTCTAATGCCATCACTTAATAATCTCCTTTGAGTTCACTCAATCCATATCTACCAACCAATCAAGATTCTGATAAATGGCATCTACTGACCTTTAAGACACTCTATCTTTCCTCAATGACTTCCAATGCCTGGATTACAGTTTTTTCTCCTCCCCAACTTCTCCCATCGTATTAAGGTACTTTAACCACAACTACATACAGAAATGGTCATACCCTTGATTTTGCCTTCACTCACAATTTCTACTTCTATGTTCATGAATTGAAATTCCTTCATCTTTTAACAACTTGATGTCATTCCACCTCCCCTCTGCCTTGTAACTTCAGGCCTGGTTCTTTGAATTATCATTGACGTCTAATCCCTCTACCCGTAAGTTCTTTCCCAGGTCATCACTCCTGCACTGACTACACTCTCCTTCTTTTCCCTATCTTGACCCCTTGGGGAACTAGTTTGGGTCCACACTATCCTCTTCTCTTAAGTCCCTTGTCCCCTCATCCTATTGCCAATTTTGCCCTGCTAATTCTCAGTCTTGAATTACTCCCACACTGTACTGCCTTCATTCCAACTTATATGCTGTTAAGTGAAGCTGGAGAAAAATTGTAAAACCATGCTTCGTAGGCCCATTACTAATTTATGTTACATAATTTGAATTGGAGCCTCAGTACAGCAAAGCAATCCTTTTCACACCTCTCTAATTGATTCACTATCCCATTCATCATAGTATCTTTTCCAAATCTTTTCATCTCTCTTGAAACCTCACATGGATCCCTGCACTGAAAACCTTGACTTATATTTCATTGGGGAAAAAATTGAGGGCATTTGAAGAGAGCTTCCTCTTCTCCTCTCCTCATGTCATCTCACTTTTGCCATTATCTTTTCCATTGCCCCTGTCTCACAGGAAGAAGTGACCCTTCTATTGCCAAGGCTAATCCTCTAATGTGCACAGGTAATCCCATTCCATCCAGTATTCTCCAGCATATTGCCTCCTCTGTCATCCTTCTCTGATTAATCTTTGATCTCTTCCTACTCACTGGTTGCTTCTCTACCTACAAATATGCCCCTGTTATCTACCAGCCTCATAAAACTCTTATTTAATCTATTTATCCCAACTGACTATTGTCCCATATCTCTCCTCCAAATTTTTGGGCTAGAATTCTTGAGAAAGTCATCTATAATCAGTGCCTCCACTCCTCTCCTCTCTCTCTTAATGCTTTGCAATATGGCTTCCAAAGTCATCATTCAACTGACTCTGGTGCCTCCAGTTACCAGTGATTTCTTAATTGCCAAATCAAATGACCTTTTCTCAATCCTTGTCCTTTTTGACCTCTCTGCAGCTTTGACGCTGGCCTCCTTGTTCCTCACACTTGAAGAACTCCAGAGTTGGGATTTGAATTCAGTTCCTTTGATTCCATTCAGTGATCTTTCCACCTCACCATGGGCATTGTTTTCTAACCTTTCTCAATCCACAACATCACTGTGAATTTGCTGGGATACTTCCAGCCTGTCATGTGCTAATTCAATCACCCTGCCAACAAGGCCATATATCCCTCTAAACATATTTCGTACATACATACATACATACATACACCAATCATATACTTTCTTTGCTCCACAATCATCACAACTACTTTTACTCTCTATCCTTGTTGATCAGAAATTGACAGGAGGAAGTGAGGAAACTCAAGATGAAGCAATATACCAAGAACCCTATGATACACCAGCATTACATTAAACTGGTAGGGAGAGAGCAAGGTTTGATAGCTGCTAACAAAGGGTGCCATTGAATAGTGTGTGGGCTTGTTCCTTTTAGAACTAAAGTCTGTAATACAAAAATGACTTTGTTTCTTACGTGAATTATTTACTAGCATTTCCCTTCATTAGTATCTTGCCAAAAGTGGTATTCTTTCTGTTGCTTCTGTGAAGATTTTGCTAAAGAAAATATGAGTATGTACAAGTACTGGCTTTGGAATTTTAAAAAATCCTACTCTGATGTGATTTAATCATGGGCAAGCCATTTAATGTCCCTGGATCTTCATAATGCCCACGATGAGGTGGAACAAGCACTGCATATGGAATCCAAGGAACTGAGTCCAAATACCTACTCTGGAGTTGGGAGATGCAGTGTCTTGTGTGAGGAACAATAAGAAGGCTAGTGTCACTGGTTTGTAGAGCATAGGGAAAACCATAAGGTGAAAGACTAGGAAGGTAGGAAGGGTCCAGGCTGTGAAGACCTGGTCCATCTGTAAAATCAAGTAGGACTTGATGACCTTCACTGTCCCTTCCAGCTATAAACCATTCTATAAACATTTATTAAGCACCTGCTGTGTGCCAAGCACTGTGCTAATCATTGGGTATAGAAAAAGAGATAAAAGACAGTCCCTGCCCTCATAGAACTTACAATCCAATGGGGAAGACAACATGCAAACAAATATATACAAAGCAAGCTATACACAGGATAAATAGGAAATAATTAACAGAGAGAAGGTGTTGGAATTAAGAAGTGTGGAAGAAGGCTTACTGTAGGGGGTGGGATTTTAGTTGGGACTTACAGGAACCCAGGGAAATCAGTAGTCAGAGTGGAGGAGGGAGAGCATTTCAGACATGGGGGCCAGCCAGAGAGAATGCCCAGAGCTGAGAGATAGAACATCTTGTTCATGAAATAGCCAGGAAGCCACTGTCACTGAACCAAAGAGTGTGTGTTGAGAAATAAGGTATAGGAAGACTGGAGAGGTAGGAGAGGGCTAGATTATGAAGGGCTTTGGATACCAAACAACATGTGGAGGCAATAAGAAATCTCTGGTCTGGAATCTTTTCCTTAACTTGGAGTCCTTTCTTATGTTTGTTTCAATCAATTAACATGCATTTATTAAGTACCTATTATATACTAGGCAATATTAGCTCCTGGGGATACAGTATATTTTGTTTAAATTTCAAACTTAGTAATCATAAGACAAAAGAAGTCTTCAAATGAACAAACAAGATTTTCAATTGATCATAATAAAACCACAATCTTTAAATTATTTAATAATGTATATAAGATTCACTTTAGAGAAGAAAATTAGTTTAGTAGATAGAGAGCTGGCCTGCAAGGCTGAGAAAACTTGGTTTCCAGACTTGCCTCTGATATACTGGCCATGTAACCCAAGGGAATCATTTAAACTTTCAGCATCCCAGGTAACTCTCTAAGATTATAAATGGCCAAACAATCACTGCTCTGCATTGGTGGGTGGAGTTTTCTCATTCGTTGCTCTCTACACAGATGAAATCATAGCTCTGGAGAAAATAAAGAAGAGAATAAAGAATTTTAATGAAAGAAAATGGCAACAAAAAAGTGATTTGTTTCTACAACCCATTGTCATCTCTTTTCATTTTCTTATTTTTTTAAATGTGTTTTGTTGCTATTACTATTTCTGCCTTATGATTCTGAAGTATAAAAAAAAATGAGAACTATTGGGCCAAGGAAAAATATACTCTAAATCTTGAACAAGAAACATATGATTTCAAGTTTAAGCATAGTGCATTGTTGACAAATTAATTTATGCTGAGCCTTTCTAGAATTATTTTACTCTATTTGGCTCTCTTTAGCATTTGATGATCCGTTTGAAGTGGCTTATATAAAGGAAGACTGTGGTTTTGCTGATGACTGCATTGAGGCTCCCTTCAATGCTACATTAAGAAAATAATATGACCATTGTTCACTAAATAATTTTCTCAGAGCTTCATTGTAAAAAATCCAGTCTGTTTTCTGGCTGTGTTGCCATTTATTTTGCAATGTCTTTATCAGTATGTGAGGATATACTGCAATGATTAATCCAGACTATTGAAGAACCCTGAAGGACCTGAAATAAGTTTATGTGCTAAAATTTTTTTAAAAAATTAAAAAAAAAATCCAAGTCAAAGATTAGAGTCACACCAGAATATGCTGCCACCTACTTTAGCTTTATTCTTAAGACTAGTTTTCTGTTTTCTCAGGTTAAGTTCACCAGTGCTGTGAAGCTATCTGAAGGAGGACCAGGAAGTGGGATGGAGAATGGAAGAGATGATGAAGAAAATTTCTTCAAACGACTTGGTAAATGACATGTTAACCCTCAGAAACTCATTTAGGCTTCATCACACTGAAAAAAAAAAGTATGGTTAAAGTGAAAAACCCATTCCCATTTCTCCTTTCGTTTTCCTTTCCCTTTCTGTACGCCTTCCTTCTTTCTCTCCCTTTTTGCCCTTTTCTCTTTCGTTTTAAAATATTTCATATTGTCTTTATATCATTTCTATTAGCTTTCTTCCTTTCACTTGCCGTTTTTCTTCCTGATCTTTTAAGAGAGTTGGAATGGATTTTACCAGTCATCTGATTTAATTTTCCATAGATACAGATAGATAAATATTTATGTATTTTTTAACTTATGCATACATGCATATGTATTTTTAGCAACTTTCCTGACAAATTTTTATCCAGCCTCTGATTGAATAATTCTAGTGTTAGAAAGTTAATTACTTCACAGTGCAGTCTATTCCTTGATGATATGGCTGAAATATTCCTCCCTGGAACTTTGACCAATTCTACCCTTTATTTGTACTCTAAAGCTGTAAAGATAACTAGTGTTTATTTCTCATGGCAAACCTTCAAATATTAAAATACAATATTATCTCTTCCTTTAATCTTTTCTTGTCTGAGCTAAACATTCCCAGATCCTTCAACTCTTCTTCATATGACAGGATTTCTTTTGTTATGGCCATCCTGATTGCTCTCTGGATCTATTACAAGTCATAAAGTTCTCATGTAAAATGTGCCCACAACTGAACATAATATTCAAAATATAGTCTCATCAGAATACAGTGTGACTATTACCTCTAGTGTTCTATATATGTGCATATTACATGCATACACACGTATGTACATATATACTTGTACTGGTTTAGGCACATTATTTTTAGGGCAAAAGGAGAGCAAAGGAAGTGTAGAAAAGGAGAAAAAAAGCATTTTTGTAGTGCCTACTATGTGCCAGGTATTATACTAAGCACTTTTTAACAAATGTTATGACACTTGATCAAAATACTGTTTCATCACATTCATATACTATAGTTCAATCATTCCCCAGCTGATTGATAATCAATTTGTTTCCAGTTTTTTTTCCTAAAATTAAAAAGACCACTAGTAATATTTTCATACATATGGGAGCCTTTTCTGTTTTCTACCTCCTTGGGATACATATCCAGTAGTGGAATTACTCAGTGAAAAAGTATGAATAGTTTAGTGACATCTCATATTATTTCATATTGTTATACAGAAATTAGTCTAAATCAGAGCTCTACTAAGAGTTTATTCATGTGCCTGTCTTCCTAAAGTCCGTTCAACATCGATCATTTCCATTTTTATCCTCTTTTCTAAACTGATGGCATTATGCCATAGCATAAGATTGTAATAGCTTTTGTGACTGACATCACAATAGAATTTATATCAAGCTTATAGATACCCCAATCATTTTCAGACAAAGCACAATCTAATAACTCCTCCCTTGTATTGTATTTCTGAAATTGATTTTTTTTAACGTAGGTATAAAATTTTACATTTACCCCTACTAATTTTATGTTTTTAGTTTCAGCACAATTCCTTTTGAATCCTCACCTTGTCAGCCAGTGTGTTGATATCCCCTCTGTTCTGTGTCTTCTTTAAGTTCATATATACATATGTGTATATATGCACATATATGTGTATATATATACAGTGTGTGTGTGTGTGTGTGTGTGTGTGTGTGTGTGTGTATTCTAACTAAGCCTGTATTCAAATCATTGAGAAAAAAACATTAAACAGGGCAGAACCAAGCATGGAGAGATGACCACTGTTCCATTGGATAAGAACTTCCAACTTGACTTCTAATCATTAATGTCTATTCATTGTTGCCATTCAACCCGTTCTGAAGTCGTATATGTGAACTCTCATCTAGCCCACATCTCTCCATATTTTTCACCAGGGTAGCAGGGTACTTTATCAAAATCTTTGTAGAAATCTAGGTAATCCCTTTATACAACATTCGCTAGATCTATCAGTCTGCTAGCCCCAGTTAAAAAAAAAAGGAAGAAAAAAAGGAATGAGTTTAGCAAAACATGATCTGTTCTTTTTTGTGGCATAATATTAATTATTCTTAATATTTTTATTTCATTAAATATTTCCCAATTACATGTAAAAATTTTAATAATCATTTAAAAACATTTTGAGTTCCAAATTCTCTTCATGATCTGTTCTTAATGAAGTTATTCTGGCTCTTTATGTTCACTGTGTGCTTTTCTAGATATCCAGTAAGCTTCCTTTTAGTAATATTTTCTAGAACTTTGCTAGAAATTGAAATAAATATCAATAATCTACAGTTTTTCCTTTCCATTCTCTTTCCCTTTCTGAAAATAAAGACAACACCTGGTTTTATCCAATCTTGTAGTATTTCTATTCTCTACCATCTTTCAAAGAACTTCCTATCAGGAAGAGTTACCTTGAACTCATCAAATACATCTAAATGGTCTCTAACTTCTTTTTATCCTTACTTATCTTAGGCACCAACTGACTATTAGTCATTTTTATTCTGTCCTTCCCAGTGCAAAGAGATTCTCTTTAAGGAAAGCAGAAGAAAAATAAGAATTAAATAGCCTTCTTTCTTTCTACCATCTTTCATCTTTGTCTCACCCCCCCCAAACAATGGTCTTATCTCTTTGATCCTCTTCTTTGCCATGCTAGAACAACAACAACTAATAGATAGGTAGGTACATAGATGGATGGATAGATAGATAGATAGATAGACAGACAGAGATATAAGTGTGTGTGTGTGTGGTGTGTGTGTGTGTGTGTGTGTATTTAGCTTTTCTGGACAGCTAAGCTCACGCTTAACTTGCTAATACTGTTCTTACAGGACTGTGCCATGCTTTTGTATTAATCCTCCATTATTTGCTCTTCTTTTCTTCTTCCATACTTGGCTTTTAAAGATCTAAGTTGGTTGGGGCATATTTCCTGTGCAGCCACATCAGTCTCTTCAGATAATTCCCATTTTTCCTTATTATCAAATTGATTCTCTTTAGATCTTGAGAATCCCATTCTTAAGAGCTTTCCATTCCTCCTAGGCTGATTTCTATGCTAGAATTTTCATTCTTAAGGATTTTTTTCCTGTATTCTGAGCCTCAGATCATATCATGTGACCCACATTTTAATATATGCTTCCCTTATATATTTTTTAATGATACCACATTTTTATTTGCTACCAAATTCACTGAATATCTACAATCTCAGTCAATAGGTGTGTTTAGATCAGCATTTAGCACAGTGCCTACCACATACGAGATGTTTAATAAATATTTATTGATAGATATTTATTAGTTATCAATTTAGATTGGGAGAGAGGAAATGGAAGTAAGGAATGAGTGAAATCAATTATTTTATAGCTCTTTTAAATCTCTGCTCCACTGGATGTTATCTCTCCCACTGCGTGCTATCTACTTCTTCAGGTTGCCACAGTTTTGATGACCATCTGACCTCCAACCAGGAGGGGACGAAATATAAGAATGTAGTAAATCTGGGAGCAATTAGGCAAGGCATGAAGAGATTTCAGTTTCTGTTAAACTGCTGTGAACCAGGTACTATACCTGATGCCTCCATCCTGGCAGCTGCCCTAGATCTGGTAAGTAATTTTAAGGTTTAAAGCAATCCTTTCCTCATTTTCCAAGTGACATTGTCAACTGAAATAAGCACAAATGTCAAAGCAAAGACTGGGCAAAATGGATCTCAAATGGAAATATTTCACTTTAGGTAAACACTTCCATATGTGATTCAAGTTCAGTTTCCAATTCTTATAGTTGACTTCTACTTTTGAAATTTTTAAGAATTGTGATATACTGATAACATTGATATATCCCATAATAACACTGAATATGAAATTTTAAAACATGAAGAGAGAGACTTTCTGGCAGTTTTTGTATTAAAACTTTGTAATGAACCAGTACCGTCTAATATAATTATAATTCTGTACCTTCATAGATATCAGTAACAGAGATGGCAGAGAGCTAAGCGATCATAAAGTTTATCTCCCTTTCCCATTTTGCAGATAAAGAAAGTGTGGGTCAGAGAAGTTAAATAAAGTCCAGGTCACACAGATAGTAAATAGCAGAGCCAGTATTTGAATCCAGGTTTTCTGATTCTAAATTTAATGTGGTTTTTTTTCCATTTAATCAGATTAAATTCCTGCCTCAGGTGTGAGTTAAAATGGATTAAAAAGTTCTTAGAACTATCTTAGTTTCTGTGTCATATCTTGGAAATCATCCAACCCTTATAATGTCATTCATTCAATTGTTTTAGTCTATTTACAACCTCATTGAGTTAAATCTTAAGCTAGGCAAAAGTCTTTCCCTTTATTCAAAAATAGAATTTCACCCTCCAAAGACCATAAACACTAGGTGTTTTATCATATAAGATGTTTAATTGGCATTCACAAAATGACAGAATCTCAGAATTGGAAAAAGCCTCAAATGCCATCTAGTTCAACCCCTAATGTTACAGGAATTCCTTTACAACATTGCAAATGGCTTCTTGGCTAGCCTTCACATGAACTCTCCTAGTGAAGTGGAACTCATGCCTCCAGAGGTGGCCCATCCTGCTTATATTAAACCCAAATCTGTGGCTTGACAACTTCCATTCCGTGCTTTTAGTAGCTACCGATTGGTTTCCTTGTGCTGAGCATAACAAGTCTTAATGGCTCTTCTGACAATCCTTCAAATACTTGAAGTCAGCTATGTTCCTGTCCCTAAGATTTCACTAAGCCAAACATTATCAGGCACTCCCATGGATTATCCTATGGCATGGTTTCCAGTCCTTCTACTATCAAGGTCGCCCTTTTCTGCTCCAGTCTTTCTAAAATGTCATATCTAGAACTGAAGATAGTATTTCAGTACAGTCTGATTGGGGCAGTCCATATTTTAAAAGGAAAAAATAATGTCTTTGAAGATATTTTAAAATTTCATCATTCTTTCTTGAAAGCATGTTATAGTGAATGAAAAATTCAGAATCATAAGATTAGAAGAGTCATTGAACTATCTAGTCTATCCTTCTACCACCAGGCTAAATTAAAGTTATACAATTTCACAGTGATTGGAGTCTGTTCTTTTTAAACTTTTTTCAGATGAGCCAGGTGTCAAAAACTCATTTTCTAGATGTTGGGGTGACTGTGGGTGGGTTCTAACCCTGAAATCAGGCCAGGGACACTGCTAAGGGCACAGACATGGTGGCACTAAACTGGGATACAAGGCTGGGACTTGGTCACAAGCACTAAGGTAAGAGCCTAATTATAAAATCCAGGATACAAAATTAGAGCAGGAATGGAAACAGGCTTGAGCTAACCAAGGTTATAAATTTGTTGGTCCTTCCTTTCCCTTGCCAACCAATCAGACCAGTCCCAGAGATTAGAATGTGGTTAAACCTATAGGTGAGGATTTTATATCCTCAAACCAGCAGAAAGTTAGGTAACTTATTTATTCCCTGATTGACTTATGTAAATCTCTGTTAAATCTCTTGGCTTTTAGGATAGTGGAATATGACATATAGCCTTAAAACATAGTTCAATTAAGAAGTATGGAGTAACTGAATCCCTAATCCAAAATACAAGTATATTGATGAATTCTTGACTAATTATAACTGGATTTTTAACTCAATTTTTCTTCAGTTACTGTTCAACATCCAAAGCTGAATCAATCAAATTTGAAATATGAGTAAAAAGGGTTTGAGCCTCTGTTTTTATGCAAAAGTTTTCTCTGAGGCAAAAGCTTCCAAAGCCCTATTTTATCTATTGACAAAGGAGGGCCATATATAATACAAATGTAAAAAGTCCATTCCAAGTGGCCTTAATAGCCATGTGCTTGTGGCTCTAAGGAACATAGAGACTAGAATATGTTGTTTGCTAAAATGCTTTCATACCGAGCAGTTGTTCCCTATAGCTCAGTCCAAAGGTCTGGACTTGAGTAAGCATAAAGCCATTCTTTGCATTTTTTTTAAATCTAAAGTTTAAACACAGTCTTTTAGTTGAAGAAAATAATTTTCAATATTTTATTTAAAAAAGCGACATAAAAAAGCATCTTAGCCATATAATCTAAATGATTTTTCTTATTTTTTAGAAAAACATTCCCAATATCCTTATGAAGAAAAATTCTGTCAAATAACAGAGTTACAGAAACATAAGTATGTACAGATTTCTGGAATGTTTATGTTCAAAATTTATGCAAATGAAAAGCTTTTTATTTATTTTAAATGTGTCCCCTAGCATTGTTGCTATGACAACTGAGAAAAATTAGGGGTAATCAGCTCCAGTTTCAGGTTCAGTCCGGCCTCTCCTGACATTTTTTTCTTGCTAAAAAATTAACAAGAACTGAATGTAATTCTTTTCAAACACATTCGATGCTTTTGAAAGGGCCTTCATTTATTGCCAAAGCTTTGTGTGTACACACAAAATGAAGCAAAGACAATTATACAAAAAGTCAAGGGATAATATTAACAATAATAGTTCATTTTAAAATGTTTTAAGGTTGAAAAATCCACTTCATTTCCTGATAGGAAATCTGAGTGTCATCCTCATTTTACAAATGAGTAAACTGAGTCTCAGAGAGTCAGTGGTTTGCCCAGGTTCATACTCCTAGTAAATGTCAGAACTAATGCTCAAACTCTGATCTTCTTATTCTAATACCAATACCTTTTTTACTAGATCAGGCTGCAAAAATATGTCATCTTAAGAACACTCACCACAGATGCTTTCTCTCTAGAAGTAATCTATGTCAACCACAATTTTGCTTTTGACCACAACTACTTCAGGAGTGGACAGAAGGCGAGGAAGCCTGTCAGATACCTAATGCTTCATTCAGGCAAAGGATAGGTTAAGTAATATAGATTAATAATATATGATATGACATATAATTTAATAATAATAAAATAGGTTAAGTAATAAATATAGAATCACAAATCTGTGCGCTGTAGCAGGTGTGGAGTCAACACATACCCAGAAGAGCGTCTCTTTTTTGCTGTCAATGTCTTTCCTGTCAGCGATTTAAAGTAGGTTACCATGCTGTACTCATTAAAACTGTACCCTACTACATTAGATGTATTATATTATTCTAGTTGGGAGGTGAAAAAGATCCATGTAACTGCCCAAGGGGTGACATACAAGATTGGATTTTACATAATAGAGTCTGTTTACTATTGTGCTCTGGAAATAAAAGATCAATTAGTGGCCATTTTGGTGTTATAAACTTAAATATACTCTCTCAAACTAGAAAAAAGAATGGTTTCTGTTCCATAACCTCCAGGTGACAATAATACTTGTCAGAATTTCCTAGCAAAATAAAGTAAGAATCAGATTATTTCACATTTTTCTGCTTTAAAATACTAGTGGAGACCTGCTCTTTCCATTTTAAAAGACAGTAATTTCAGCCATTTCATTCTGATTAATTTCCCATTAGTGACCAAAGGCTAGCAAAGTGAGATCCAGCTCAAGCAATAAGAAAACAATAGTGATTTCCATCTCTGGTTTTGCCACATACTGACAATCACATAGAAATCCTCAAAAACTTCTCAAAATTAATTTCAATTGACTTCATGTTTATAAATACAGTAGAAATTTTTTTCACATAAGTAACACATGCCATTATAGATAACTGTTCATACATTTATTGAATATAATTATTATATTTGAAGAGAGCAGGATTTGACTCACTTTAAAATAATAAGCTATCAAAACAGGATTCTACTGTACATTTCATACAGTGCTTAAAAAAAAAAGTGTTAGGGGCAACTAGGTGGTACAGTGGCTAGAGCACCGGCCCTGGAGTCAGGAGGACCTGAGTTCAAGTCTGGCCTCAGACACACAATACTTCCTAGCTGTGTGACTCTGAGCAAGTCACTTAACCCCAATTGCCTCACTTTAAAAAAAAAAGTATTAAAGTGTTGCAAAAACTATCCAATTTCCTAATCACCTATTCCCAAATAAAAAAAAGTATTAAAGTGTTGCAAAAATTATCCAATTTCCTAACCACCTATTCCCAAATAAGTTTAGGGTTACTAAAAAAAAAAGGTAAATCTATAGAAGCAAGATCAATTAATCTTTAAAAAATGAGTATGAATTAATAAAGTCTACTTAGACATCATAATCTCACAGTAGCTTAGGTGCATTTCCTTGTTGTTGAATTAAGGTTTAATGTTGGTAACTTCTTGAAAGACTGTTCATTATTTTACGAGGAAATAAAGCATATAGAGTAATGATTTATCTACAGACTTATTAGAACTGATCTTACCCTACTTGGAGTGGGACACTGGCTGCCCTAAACACAACTTACTCACTCTTTCTTCACTAGCTTTGAGTGATACACATAGGTCCTTCTGAGTTTATTATCCATAGCTTATTTAATCACATCTTCAATGTGAAGTCACATCTGCCAATTACAAAGCAATATGGTATTCTGACTTATTTACCAAGGAATTTTCCTGGTGACACCTTCCCTTAGTCTCCTTATTGTCCTATATCCATATAATATGTGATTGAGGTGGAAATTAGGGAGTTCAAGATCACCTAGAATCAGGAAGGTAGCTTTCTACAACTATTCCAGATAATTCCAAGATTGAATACATTCGGAAAAAGAAACTGTT